GTTAGAAGCACTGTTGTCAGAAGCACTGGTGTTAGACCAACTGGTGTTAGAAGCACTGTTGTTAGAAGCATTGGTGCTAGAAGCACTGGTGTTAGAAGCACTGGTGTTAGAAGCACTGGTGTTAGAAGCACTGGTGTTAGAAGCACTGGTGTTAGAAGTACTGTTGTTAGAAGCATTGGTGCTAGAAGCACTGGTGTTAGAAGCACTGGTGTTAGAAGCACTGGTGTTAGAAGCACTGGTGTTAGAAGTACTGTTGTTAGAAGCATTGGTGCTAGAAGCACTGGTGTTAGAAGCACTGGTGTTAGAAGCACTGGTGTTAGAAGCACTGGAAAATTGGTCAACAGAAAATCTCGACTTCAAGAGAGGATGCCATGAGAGTCTACGAGAGCTCTTTCATGGATTTAACTGGCAAGTTTTTTGTTAGCAAGGAACTATAGGAGCAGAATGCCAGACTTGGCGAGATCTGTGACGAAGGCATATAAGCAGAAATTGCCAGAGGAACAGACAAAAAATACAAAAATGATTCAGTATAGGAAGAGGCCAAACCCACAAACATGTCGGGACTACAAATAAGCAAGGAACAACTGCACAACATTAAATGAAACAGAACATCACTTTGAAAAAAATGGAGAGCAGACAAATGTAAAATTGGAACCCGGCCTATTCTATACACTTATGAAAAGCACATTGCGTGGGAAAGGTCAAGTCTAAAGACTTGTTTGGCAGAAGGTGCATCACCTGTAATAAGTACACACATTATTACAAGTTCCAATAGGCTCCTGGAATCTGAACACCAATTGATTGACAGTTGAGAGGCGGGACCAAAGAGCCGTAGTTCAACCCCCGCAAGCACAACTAGGTGAGTACACACACACACACTCAGGGGAATTGGCAGGGTAGACAAGGATGGATTATTTAACACGGGTGGTACACGCACAAGGGGACACAGATGGAAGCTGAGTACCCAAATGAGCCACAGAGACATTAGAAAGAACTTTTTCAGTGTCAGAGTAGTTAGTAAATGGAATGCATTAGGCAGTAATGTGGTGGAGGCTGACTCCATACACAGTTTCAAATGTAAATACAATAGAGCCCAGTAGGCTCAGGAACCTGTACACCAGTTGATTGACGGTTGAGAGGCGGGACCAAAGAGCCAGAGCTCAACCCCCGCAAGCACAACTAGGTGAGTGCCCACATTACTAATAAGGAGTGACACAAACTACCACCATTAATTATCTCAGCACGTCAAACATAAAGAAAATAATGTGCAATATTTCCCAAAATCTCCAGATTAACAAACATTGAAATATAATGTTAATTTTTATCATGTACATAAAACATTGATAAAAGAACAATATTAATCCGAATATATTTAAAGTCAATACGTTTTGTATTTATTAGCTAATGCTATGAGCCGAAACGAAGCTGGGGATTGTGCTAAAATAATGTCAGGATACTCTTAATATAAGCTGGAGATTATTCTGTAATTGTAATTTACAATACTCCTCAGCTTAGTTTCGGCGGCTTTTAGCATTATGCATCAAATTCCGATTAGAACACGAGGTTGATTAATAGCGCTAATTTGTGCTACACAGGTACTGAAGATACCTGTGCCAGCTGAGAGGATTATGTAGGGAGGGAACAGGTACCTCCGTTGGGTACTTTACCTGCAGTACCTGGTGGGGCAATGAACCTCTCCTGGAGTGGACCTTCTTTGACTTACCGTATTACCCTGAGGACCGCTGCTGAAGGCTCTACCTTCCTGAGGACTACTCCCTCTTTGGGCTCGAACCTACCTGGGCACCGTATCGTCCTGGCGACCACACCCTCCTGGGAAACCCGTTTGCGAGCTGTACCTCATTAAGGACCGTGTCTTCCAAGGGACTGTACCCTCCTCATGACCTTCTTGTGAGCGGCCTTCCCTGTGACCCGCACCTTCAGAGAGATGTAGCTGCTCTGAATAGATACCATCGTCCGGGGCGTTACTGGACGCTGTGACAGATAAGCGCTCTTATATAGAGGCGTAACCCGATACGAGACAATGTAGCAGCATGAGCAACCCGTGCTTACACTAGGCTGGTTAAAGCAGCGGCCGTCCTCCCCAGACGCATTCATCAATTTGAGCATACTATGTATTAAAACTTGGTTTGTTCTCAAATATAAATTAATATTATTATACATAAAAATTCAGTGTATAGTTAGGCGTAGGTTAAGTAAGGTGTTTAGGTTCTGTTGGCGATTATTTGTATTTGAAGGACGTGGGTGAAGCATTTATACAACCCGTCCTCGACTCAAGTCCATTACATCCAGCGGTCGACCCCACAGACGCATTCATAAATTTTAACTTGCTGTTCATTCAAAACGGGAATTTTCTCAAGTATAAATTAATATTATAATATATTAGCATATTGTGCATATATAGGCATAGGTTAGGTTAGGTGTTTAGGTTCGGTTGGCGATTATTTGTATTTGTAGTACGTGGGTGAAGCATTTATAGCGATGTGGTTCGAACAAAACTCGCCAGTGAAGCACTTGTTCCGGATATGTTCGAACGTCATCAGTTGTGAGTCAGCCTGTCCTCCAAACAAAGATCCAAAAGTGATTCCATGCACCCGCCAAACCCCCTGTTTATGAATGAAAAGCGGTTTACACACGACTCACAACTGATGACGTTCGAACATATCCGGAACAAGTGTTTCACTGACGAATTTTGTTCGAATCACATCGCTATAAATGCTTCACCCACGTACTACAAATACAAATAATCGCCAACAGAACCTAAACACCTAACCTAACCTAACCTATGCCTATATATGCACAATATGCTAATATATTATAATATTAATTTATACTTGAGAAAATTCCCGTTTTGAATGAACAGCATATTAAAATTTATGAATGCGTCTGTGGGGGTCGACCGCTGGATGTAATGGACTTGAGTCGAGGACGGGTTGCGTGTGTAAACCGTTTTTCATTCATAAACAGCGGGTTTGGCAGGTGGATGGAATCACTTTTGGATCTTTGTTTGGAGGACGGGCTGATTTATAGAATAGCGGTTCGAACAGAGGACGTGAGCGAAGCACTTGTTCCGGAAGTGTTCGGACGTCATCAGTTGTGAGTCGTTTGTAATCCGTTTTCATTCATAAACAAGGGGTTTCGTGGGTGCATAGAATGTACTTTGGTCTTTGATAATGAGGACGGGCTGCAGGAATTTTCTTAAATATAAATTAATATTATTTTATATTACTATATTGTGCATATATAGGCATTGGTTATATTAGGTTAGCTATTTAGGTTCTGTTGGCGATTATTTGTATTTGTAGTACGTTGGTGAAGCATTTACAGCGTTGTAGTTAGAACAAAATTCGTCAGTGAATCACTTGTTCCAGACGTGTTCGGACGTCATCAGTTGTGAGTCGTGTGTAAACCGTTTTTCATTCATAAACAGGGGGTTTGGCGGGTGCATGGAATGGACTTTGGGTCAGTTTGGAGGACGGGCTGCTTGAGGACGGGCTGGGGGTACGACCGCTGCGGCAGCTGCTGGTATTGAGAGGATTCGACTCTTGGGTCTGAGGATGGGTTGAGCGATGGTCAATGACGTGTCATGTGGGTTGGTTTAATCTTATCAAACAAGGGAACACCTGTTTTGTTTACCTCAGTACAAATGTTCTGCCCATTTATTTCAGCTTCTCAGATTTTAATGATATACTTTCCTTCAGTATGCGTTCCATTTGTTCCATTTCCGCTGGTTTTCTCACTGTCAGTACAATAAAATAAAATCAAAATCTTTAGTAATAAGTGTATCTTCATTATTGAGTTTACACAAAAATGCCAATATATGATTTACATATGAAAAAGTCATAATAATAATTTATTATCTATACTAGCCTCTTCCCGGCCTGGTGCATTTTTGGGGTAATGACTTACCAGTCACTGTGATTATATACTGCACTAGACACCAGGAGCGGCGGGGGTGATACACATCCACATCTACACTACACACACCACCTTCATCACTGTAGCCATCTACACTACACACACCACCTCCATCACTGTAGCCATCTACACTACACACACCACCTCCATCACTGTAGCCATCTACACTACACACACCACCTCCATCACTGTAGCCATCTACACTACACACGCCACCTTCGTCACTGTAGCCATCTACACTACACACCACCTCCATCACTGCAGCTATCTACAGTGCACATCGCCATTATCACTGTAATCACATTTTATTACACACTAACTTCATCACTTTGATCATCTTCACTCTCCGGACACTATAGGCTCCCCCCATCTCTGCAGTGTATAGGTTCAGGGGCGCTACTAACACATAATCATCTTGGAGAAAATTAATCTAATCGAGGTTGCAATCTAGAATCAAATGAGGCGGGAGGGGGGGAGTACATGACCCCTGACCCCTTCTCCCATGACCTTCCCCAACATTCACCAAGTCACCGTGCAAAGTTCGGTAAAATTAGCCCCCACTATCCTGAGCCCCCTAAGCGTCTGCAACCACCATCCTTTGATAAGCAAAAAGCAGACTTCTATAAATATATTGATCATTCTAAAATATATAGATACTCCATGTTCATATTTAGATCTACAAGCTTTAGTGGTCAGTAATACACAAAGGTCACTAGAGATGATGATCGGTAGTGCCCGGATTAACCCGATAAATCTGTCTTTATATGTCTGTATCCTGCCTGGGCCATTTTGGATTTGGGAAGATGAATGAGAAGGGGCAGCGCCTCCTGGAGTTCTGCTGTCGTCATGATCTCTGCATCACCAATCTCTTCTTCGACACCAAGCCCCAGCATAAGGTTTCCTGGAAACACCCCAGATCTAAGCATTAGCACCAACTCGACCTGGTGCTTACGGGCCGTAGCAATCTGAGAAGCGTCAAACTGACCCGCAGCTTCCCAGAGCGCAGATTGTGACACCGACCACTCTCTCGTCCTTTGCAGAGTAAAGTTCCAACCCCGGAAAATCCACAGAGCAAAGAAGGAGGGAAAACCACGCATTAATGTAAACAACACCTGTGACCTTCACAAGGTGAAGGAATTCACTGCTGCGCTGGTAAAGCTAATTCCTGTACCACCCTGCGATAGCGCAAGTGAGAGGTGGTCACATCTCAGGGGCACTATTTTCAACACTGCCATGTCCACCTTCGGTAAGAGGCAGAACAAGTCAGCAGATTGGTTCGAGGCCAGTGCAGAGGAATAGTTACCCCTTGTAGAAGACAAGAGACGAGCTCTCTCCTCCTACAAGAACCTGTCCTCAGAAAGAACCAACAGGCCCTCCGTACTGCCCGCAGTAGAGTTCAACAAACTGCGAGGCGCTGTGCTAAAGATTACTGGCTCTGACTCTGTTCTAGCATCCAGACTGCGGCCACTGACGGCAACATAAGAGGCATGTACGAAGGGATCAAACAGGTAACAGGCACTACACAAAACAAGACAGCTCCTCTGAAGTCAGCCTTGCCCAGCCACTTGGGCTGGACGGAAGAGCGACGGTCTCGCTTCATGCAGGTCGGCGTTCAATCCCCGACGGCCAAGTGGTTGGGCACCATTCCTTCCATACAATTCCATACAGATCCGTGCAGGTCCATACAGATCCGTGCAGGTCCATACAGATCCGTACAGGTCCATACAGATCCGTGCAGGTCTATACAGGTCCGTGCAAGTCCGTGCAGGTCCGTGCAGGTTCATACAGGTCCATGCAGGTCCATACAGGTCCGTGCAGGTCCATACAGGTCCGTGCAGATCCATGCAGGTCCATACAGGTCCGTGCAGGTCCATACAGGTCCATGCAGGTCCATACAGGTCCGTGCAAGTCCATTCAGTTCCGTGCAGGTCCGTGCAGGTCCGTGCAGGTCCATGCAGTTCCATGCAGGTCCATACAGATCCGTGCAGGTCCGTGCAGGTCCATACAGGTCCGTGCAGTTCCGTGCAGGTCCATACAGGTTCGTGCAGGTCCGTGCAGTTCCGTTCAGGTCCATACAGATCCGTGCAGGTCCATACAGGTCCGTGCAGGTCCATACAGATCCGTGCAGGTCTGTGTAGATCCGTACAGGTCCGTGCAGGTCCGTGCAGGTCCATACAGATCCGTGCAGGTCTGTGTAGATCCGTACAGGTCCGTGTAGGTCCATACAGATCCGTGCAGGTCCATACAGATCCGTACAGGTCCGTGCAGGTCCATACAGATCCGTGCAGGTCCGTGTAGTCCATACAGATCCGTGCAGGTCCGTGTAGATCCATACAGGTCCGTGCAGGTCCATACATATCCGTGCAGGTCCATACATATCCGTGCAGGTCCATACATATCCGTGCAGGCCCATAGAGGGCCTAAAAGCATGCATCACTTACCTTTTTTTTTAGGAATACTCCTGCGTGGGCCCTAAGCCTTTGGCTGGCCCACTAAAAATGCAATCCAAGCCGGGAATCGCACTCGGCTGAAAGCCAGGTATCCTAGCGAATAGACCACATGGGAAGGGAAATTATCAGGGGGAAAGCTCCAAGCCATTATAACTATATACCACAGGAAAGGGATCAGGATAAGGATTTGGGATGGGACGGGGGGAAGGAAAACAAAACATGAATGCAACGTTTCCATTTACCTGATGCTTCCGCTCACCTAAAAGTAAATAGGTAGTTGGGTATAAGGCAAGTGTTGTGAGTGGCAACCTGAGGAAGGGCAGGTGTTAATTAAAACAGCCCTCGCTCATTACAAAGGTTAAGTTAGCTATCACTAATTATAGCTGCTAGTACAGTTATAAAATTATCACCGTCTCCCCTCCACTTCCCACTCTCAATTCTGGCCCATGTTGGTGAGCGTCAGGTGGCAGGCGGGACGGAGGGGTCGCAGCGCCTCGGAGGCCCTCTGATAACGAGGCGCTGGGACACCCTCCCTTGCCCACCACCTGTTTCTCCCTCCACCTGTCCTCCTCCTGCAGGGCCCGTGTTCTTCACCTACCCTCCTGAAGGGCCCGTGTTCTTCACCTGTCCTCCTCCTGCAGGGCCCGTGTTCTTCACCAACCCTCCTGCAGGGCCCGTGTTCTTCACCTACCCTCCTCCTGCAGGGCCTGTGTTCTTCACCTACCGACCTCCTGAAGGGCCCGTGTTCTTCACCTACCCTCCTCCTGAAGGGCCCGTGTTCTTCACCTGTCCTCCTCCTGCAGGGCCCGTGTTCTTCACCAACCCTCCTGCAGGGCCCGTGTTCTTCACCTACCCTCCTCCTGCAGGGCCCGTGTTCTTCACCTACCCTCCTCCTGAAGGGCCCGTGTTCTTCACCTACCCTCCTCCTGCAGGGCCCGTGTTCTTCACCTACCGACCTCCTGCAGGCCCCGTGTAAGGCATGTGAGGGAGTGGAGTGAAGCAAGTGTTATCCCACTGTTCCGTACCACTGAGATATCTTAGTAGTTAACTACTCCTACAAGACCGACGAGGCGCTGGTTAATTTCACCAAACAAAATAAACAACTGAGAGTTTATTTATTTATTTACTTATTTATTTATATATATTCAAGAAGGTACATTGGGATTGTGAGGATACATAACATAGTACAGTAATTACATTGTTGTAAAGCCACTAGTACGCGCAGCGTTTCGGGCAGAAACATAGTGGTTTATAACTCCCCTTGTAAGGACACTGGCATTGTTTACGTTGGGCAGGCAAGTAGGGAGCTCTAAACTAGGAAAAACAGAACATAAATATTACTTTTTGCTTCGGTATCTGTTGCTAGTCTCAAGACGCTGACCTGACCAAGAGTGGGAGACTGTCCTCCACCATCCCTCATATAAGCTGTCTCTCTGTCTACTTGTCCGAGGTTGGAGGCCAGATTCTTGAAGCTAGCCTCACTCAGTTTGTCGCAGTAATTGCTGCCGGGTACGTAGCCAACATGGGTGCGTCAGGCTTGCCATAATAGAAAAAGAGTTCCACGTTATACTGTGCCAAAGTGATCCCTCACGATGAATCTTACTATATGCCATTATGAATTGATTCTGAATATTACACCTCGTCCCTAGATACCCGGGAGTTATTAGCTTGTTGTGGGGCTGCATCCAGGGAGGGGGGGGGGGGGGTTGAGTTCAATATTTCATCCTTGTTGGAGGGGGGGGGTGAGTTCAGTAGTTCAACCTTTTGGGGGCAGGTTGAGGTCAGGATATTTCGACCTTGGAGGGGGGGGGGCTGATTTCACTAGTTAGACCTTGGGGGGGGGTGAGTTCAGTGGTTCGTCCTTGGAGGGGGGTTGAGTTTACTAGTTCGATCTTCGGGTGGGAGCGGGGGGGGGGGTGGCACAATAAAAGCCTAACATATATATGTACACTGGCTGTCTGTCCCCCGACACGATTATTATTATTAAAAAGTATATTATAATGAGCTTCAACTTAGAGCACTATTAAACATTAACTTAAACTTGAAATATAATTTATTTTGTCGAGACAGGCAGCCAGTGTTTATATATATACAACTTAGGCTTATATATGGAAGCCACCCTTCCCCCCCCCACCCTTCAAGGTGGAACTACTGACGGCCCCCAGGAGGCAACCCCACAACAAACACACTACCTCCTGGGTACCTATACCTACTGCTAGGTGAACAGGACCATTGTGAACAGGACCTGCAGATCTTTAGCCCCTGCTATTGCATTGCTCTTCAACAAGTCACTTGAACTCCAAACCTTTCCAGATATTCTAAAAAAAACGAGAGTAACGCCTGTCCACAAATGTGGTGATCTCACCGATGTTAACAACTACAGACCTATATCAATCCTGCCAAACTTGTCAAAATTTTTTGAAAAACTAATCTATAAGCAGCTTTACTCTTATCTAGCTAAACACAATATACTTAGCCCTTGCCAATATGGCTTCAGACCCCAAAAAAGCACTAACGATGCACTTATTAGTATGCTTAACTCGATTCATACAGCTCTTGATAAAAATGAGTTCCCTGTTGGGTTATTTGTGGACCTGCGTAAAGCTTTTGACACTGTCAACCACCAAAACCTTCTTCTTAAATTACATCATTATGGAGTCAGAGTACACTCCCTACAATACCTCAAATCTTACCTTACTGACTGGCTCCAGTATGTTTCTGTGAATAATTCAATTTCTCCCACCCTACCCATCAACATTGGTGTTCCTCAGGGCAGCATACTTGGCCCTCTCCTCTTTCTCATCTACATTAATGACCTTCCAAATGCCTCCCAACACTTCAAACCAATTCTATTTGCTGACGACACAACCTTCATTTACTCCAGTCCTGACCCCCTTGCTCTAAATGCCACAGTAAATACTGAGCTAGAGAAAGTCCATCTTTGGCTAACTGCCAACAAACTCACCCTTAACATTGACAAAACTTTCTATATTCTGTTTGGCAATAAATCCTCTAATCAAATAAATCTCAAAATAAACAATACCCAAATTTGTAACAAATTAGATGGCAAATTCCTTGGCATTCTCATTGACCACAAGCTGAATTTCCAGGGACACATTCTAAATATATCAAAAAAAGTTTCAAAAACTGTTGGCATTCTTTCTAAGATCAGATATTATGTACCTCGCCCTGCCCTGGTGACTCTCTATTACTCCCTCATCTATCCATATCTCAACTATGGTATTTGTGATTGGGGTTCTACTACCCAAAATCATTTACGTCCTCTAATTATTCAACACAAAGCTGCTATTAGGACAATATCCAACTCTGGCCCCAGCAGACATCACTCGGTACCCCTACTCAAATCTCTGAATATGTTAGATATTAAGTCACTGCACATTCTCTCATGTGTATTATACATATATAAAACGCTGAACTGTAATGCCAATCCTGACCTCAAAAGCTTCATAGAAGGTTGTAACAGAACCCATGAGCACCACACCAGAAACAAATACCTTTTTGATATTCCAAGTGTACGACTTAATCAAACTAGAAATGCTCTACAAATCAAGGGACCCAGAATGTGGAATGACCTTCCCAATCATGTTGAAGACTGTACCTCTCTCAACCAGTTTAAGATAAAAACTAAGCACTACCTAATCAATTCCCTGTAACCTACCTTACCCCTCAATTGTCAACCCATGTCTGTTATTTTTTTAAACAACGCTGTTTGTCGACCTAATTGTATTTGTGCTGCTTTTTCAGCCATGTTCCCCCCCCCTTTTTATTTTTATGTGTTCTCAAAACATTTTATACTTTAATCTCAGTTAGTATTAAGTTTTAGTCTTTAATGTTTTTCCTACCCGAAACGCTTTGCGTAATAGTGGCTTTAGGCATTGTGTGTACTAGCTCTATCTATAAATCTATCATTTTTTGTATAAACTTTTGTATGTATGTACTTTACCTGAATAAACATTTGAATTTTTGAATTTGAATACTACTAAGTTTTTGTCTAAGTGTTTTTTTCCCCCCTCACCTTGCCCGAAACGCTATGCGTACTAATGGCTTTAGGTATTGTATGTACTTGCTCTATCTATAAATCCAACATTATGTAACTAATCCTCTATGTATGTATTTCTACCTGAATACACATTTGATTTGATTTGATTTTATAATATCGCCAATTCCAGCTCCCGGATAGCAAACCCTTAACCTGTTTTCCCTATCTCTGGCACCAAAAAGTTCTATCTAAATATCTCACCTGGGAATCTCCCACACCCAAAATTCACTTAGGTACTTCCTTTAGTTTCTGAGTACTCTGAGGGACCTGCGCTTCGTTGATTTCCCTTTCGAACGAACTGCAGGCTCACCACAGCACTCGTCCTCCAACACGGCAAAGGAGTTAGACGTCCTTAGGATATCTGTAGGCGGCTTTATCAAAGTCTTCTTAAGACCCCTGTCCTTTACGACTTTCCATGTGGAGGTCTTTTTAATACTGGTCTCCTCCTTCGTTTCTTCCTGATGTTGTTTCAGGTGTCGTACCTCCTCCCGTAGGGAATCCTATACTCTGTCCTCAGAGTTGAAGACAGACAGGGCGGATCCAATTGAGACTTTTAAAATACTGAATAATTTGGAAGATGCTAATCCGGACAATTTCTTCATAAGGTCAGATGTAACACAAACAAGGAGCAACGGTCTCAAGCTCAACAATTAAGCCACAATGAAGGACTAACAACAGGGCGTGGTTTTTCAACCTCAGGGTTATAAACCCATGGAACCGCTTACCCGCCGAAGCCGTAAACTCTGTTAATTTTAAAGTCAAACTGGAAAAGATAATCAAGGCAAATTAGGGAACCTTCCGTGGGGGAAAGGAGGAATTGTATATGTTTATCTCTCAGAATGTTCGGCATTATGTTTATTGTTTGTGATGTGTGTCTATATATGTATGAACACGTTGTACTGAACGGGGTGAGAATAGCTTGAGCTACCTCATCCCTTTGTGTGTATTTTACCTCAATAAACTTATTTCAATTTCAATTTCAATTTCCGAGTGGGAGACATCTCCCGTCACGCAGGGTGCAGTCGCACCTCCACAGATCTCCAGTATCAGCTAATGATACTGGTAATGGCTCAAAAGGGCCACCACTTACGGGCTATTCATGCCCGTGCCACCTTTTGGGTGGCTTAAACTTCAACAATCATCAATCGGGAACCTTCGACAAGCCTCCGGCTATCTGTTCTCGTCGAGCCATTAGTGTTAGTGGCCCCTCAGGTAAATCATGTAAATCAGGAATAAAATATATTCCTGATTATATTCCTAAAATATATTCAAGAATAAAATAAAGAAATAAAATATAAATTATATGCTGAATATTGTTATTATAAGTCCCAAGATTGGGACATCGTTCGCCTAGGACGCTGCATCACCAAGGAATCCGGATGGAGTCGCATACTGCGATAATCCGAATGTGAGAAACCAAACACATACACGCACACTAGACCTAGGGTGGTGTGTGTGTGTGTGCAGTCATCAGGAGGAAAACCTTCGTGCAAACTGAATATATCGCGAAAAAGAAGAAGTGTGTGTGTGTGTGTGTGGTGCTGAGTTGAGGTGTGGGTGTGCCTACGGCTGTCCCAACCGGACGTGAGGGAAGATGATGGCCTTCGGCACACAGACATTGACTTGTAAAAACCTGCAGGAGTACCTGAGGTCCCTGGCGAAGGACACACTAGACAGACTGTACCGACACCCTGCCACTTGCCTGGCCGTCTACAGGTGAGCGTGGGGGTGTGATGGAGGTTCAGGTTGTGCCGTACAGTATTCTCAGGGCCTTCAGGGCTCTATATACTGTAAGTATATTTACTCTATAAAGCTTGCTTTTCCCTGAGACTGCAGTATTTGATGCAGTGTCCAAACAAATTGCCTAAAGCTTCTCATATTCAGTTATATAATTAATGTTTGGTGTATATAATGTTTTAATGTTTATATAATTAATGACTATAGGTCTGATATTAATGGTCGAACCCCTGTTAGAATCTAACCAGATTGCTAATTGGGTCAACCCATGTGTTGACCAGACCACACACTAGAAGGTGAAAGGACGACGATGTTTTGGTCCGTCCTGGACCATTCTCAAGTCGATTGTCATCGCCTGCAACCCATGTGTTGTGTTTCCACAATGGTCGTCCATGATGGAATCGGCGAACACTTTAAGAATACTGTTGAAAACATCTTGATAACTTGTTAAACCAAAAATCTTTATACTGTACTGTATATCAGAAGAATGACAAAAACAGAATCTATATGTGAAATCTTTACCAGTACTTGCTGATATATTGTATAATTAACAAAGATACCCTAATACAGCCTAAAATATTATATGCCTTCCAAAAGACCGAGATATAATTGTTATTGTGAGTGCCCCAAAGGAAATATATCTTGTTGGAGGACAAAGAATATATCATGTTGAAAGACAAAGATGTATCAATTTTAAATTGTTTCCATAGCGACTCGCTCCATCTATTGGAGATGCTGTCCACCTAATGACCCCTAAGCTACCCAAAGCCATATAGCTTTATGTAAGTAATGAAGAAATACGGTATTTTTACTCACTATAATGTTATTGCTTAATGTATAACATGAAAAACATATTTTTACTCTGAAATAATATAATTTTATAACAAAATTAGGGGAAACGCAGTGACAGGTGACACTATATGAAATCGACGATCTCAGCGACAATGTTGTGGATTGACTGATCCAAGAAATATTGTTACCTGGAGAGTGTTTGCTGGCATATCAGCATCCTGTTAAGAGCTGTACTTGTGGATAACATTCCCTGGCTTGGCACCTTCTTTTGATAATTACCTGCTTGTTGCTGACATGTATAATCTGACTGTTTTAGTCATAATTCACCTAGATATTGATCCTGCATCATAATTAACATACATGTTTACTTCTGTTTTGTGTATTAAAGTGACTTAAAAAAAAGTGAATTTCTTTCTGCATTTGATAGTGATAGAGTGCAATTATAGTATCATTGCAACTTTATAGGAAATCCTTAAATCCTTAATATATCTTGGTTCATATACTTGAAATATTGTTACATTCAATATTTGAAAACAAAGTTTATATCTGTATTTTTAATAAAATATAAAACATTAATGTTTATCATTGCATCTCTGTGAATCAAATAATTTATCAGTATTGTGCAGCATGTGATCCCCACCTGGCTGGACACTGATGCCTAAAGGTAGTTTTCATATGTTCGGACACCGGCAATGGGGGTGGTATTATTTATTTAACTTAAGATATATATTCCTTGAAATGTTGGCACATTAATGTCTACATCTGTCTTTCTTCTGAAATATAGATTTTTAAGGTTAATTTGCATATATGCAAATTAATTTGCATATATGCAAATTAATTACACAATTTGTAATTTTAATAACACAATACACAATTTATTGGCTGGTGTGCAGGACTTTGCACACTCAGAGCTAGCTGTCAAGTAACTATCAACATGCATATGTCTTCATTTTCACTTCTTGGTTATCTTGAGTCCATCTTCAGATATATTTATGACAAAGGATTTAAAATGTAGCCTATATATATCTGCCTTTCTTATGACATAAAAAAAAACTTCATTTATTACAGTATCTAGATAAAATTAACATTGATCTTCAAACGGTTGTAGTTTCCATCGATAGGGAGAGCGTCAGCCAAGAAACCTTTTTTAAAATATGAATATCTTTCCTCTCTCAATAATATCTAATCTCTGATTAAGCTACAGTTATATGTACACACGTATTTCACATAAATTTCATTTCATGTATTTCACACATTGTTGGACAATTCATATATGAATTATAATTAAAATTACTTTATATATGTACTATGGCCCTCATCCTTTCTATAAGTATTACCAAAACAGGAGGATGGGCTGAAATATTTAATATTTATTAAATTCCCGGTAGCTTATGTTCATGTTGGGATTTAGGCCTTGGGTCCGGTGTTGGAACTGGTTAAGCTGCTGAGTGCTCTTATGTCCTCAAAACATGATGTGCCAAATCTTTACCACTAAATAATTTTTACATTTAAATATTTTAAAACCATATCACGATGTGTGTTGCATAACATTTTTGCTTGTCTGTAAAAAAAATAGTCAATAAAAATAATATACAGTAAATGTTTTCTTTTTAGGGAACTTCCAGAATTGAGTCGGCAATTTGTTTTGAGGCTCTTGTTTGTGGTGAAACCTGTTCCTCAAATGTTGTTGGCCACATGGATACCTCAGCATGAACCAGGCAGGTTGGTACAAGCAGGTCATTTTTTTGTAAGTCAGTTACATGAAAAGCGAACTCTTACTCTGTATTTTAAGAGTACAGTACTGGTGAAAATTACAGTAATATAAAATGTCAGCCAATTTCCTGACTGTTTTTATAGATGCTTCTTCAAGGAATGATTGTAGGTGTCAGGAAATAAATAAAAGATTTTCCTCATAGTAGATACAGTATACGTTTCTAGAATTAACAAGAGATATATCATCTATGAAAAGGGGCTGCTTTTCATAGTATGCTATGCTATGGTATTACATGGGTGCACTTTATTTGGAAAATGAGAGATATGGTTGGAGTGTAGAATAAATGTAATGAAAAATTGGAGCACCAGAGGCTTGATTAGAGCCACACTGTAAACATCAAGATTAATGACTATTCAAACATCAAAATATATGAAATATCACAGGACGAACTGTGAAAGTTTTCAAGAGAAAGACTGTTACAAGTTTCTGCTCGAGTTACTGGATCAGCCTGGCTATGATTATGTGATGCTGCAGGTTACTAAGATGAGCAGCCTCATAGAGCAGGCAATCACCAAGGAAGGCTGGCCTCAGATCACACTGTGAAATAAAACCTATTCGATGAAAGGTGAATGAAAGTTGTAACATGTTTCTTACTTGTGGTCCACAGTTGTTCAACATCTTCCCAGCGAGCATAAAAAAATATTGCCGGAACAACCGTGGACATCTTCAAGAGAAAACTAGATCATTTCTCCAAGGAGTGCCAGACCAACTGGGCTGTGGTGGATATGTGGGCCTGCGGGCCGCTGCAAGCAACAGCCTAGTGAACCAAACTGTCACAAGTCAAGCCTGGCCTCAGGCCGGGCTTTGGGAGTTGAAGAACTCTCGGAACCCCATCAAGCAGGTATCAAGCAGGTATCAAACTCTTCTACACACACAATCTATAGATGCATCCAAGTGGCATTCCCAAATTTTTGGAGGTATACTGAGGTTGGGAGCATAAATGTAAGGTCTCCAGTAAGGTAAGGTAAGGTCTTAGGGAGCCGGTCGGCCGAGCGGACAGCACGCTGGACTTGTGATCCTGTGGTCCTGGGTTTGATCACAGGCGCCGGCGAGAAACAATGGGCAGAGTTTCTTTCACCCTATGCCCCTGTTACCTAGCAGTAAAATAGGTACCTGGGTGTTAATCACCTGTCACGGGCTGCTTCCTGGGGGTGGAGGCCTGGTTGAGGACCGGGCCGCAGGGACACTAAAAAGCCCCGAAACCATCTCAAGATAACCTCAAGATAACCTCCAGGACAAGTTGGAAGTGACTGTGATGTATAAAATAAAGAAAACAATATGTTGACCAGACTACACACTAGAAGGTGAAGGGACGACGACGTTTCGGTCCGTCCTGGACCATTCTCAAGTCGATTGAGAATCTCATTCTCAAGTCGACAATCGACTTGAGAATGGTCCAGGATGCACCGAAACGTTGTCGTCCCTTCACCTTCTAGTGTGTGGTCTCATCAACATATTTTAGCCACGTTATTGTGACTCATCGTCTGCAAAGAGCACAATACAATGGATCAGGTTTGATTTAAGAAAGATCTAGGTAAATACTAGTTTGGAAACAGGGTTGTGGATTTGTAGAATAAATTATTGGGTAACAAAGAAGATGGGGGATTGATGGATTATTTCAAATGTAGGTTAGACATATTGTATACAAATGAGTTTGTATACAAGGTTTAGGTGGATATAAATAGGAGCTACCTCATGTGGGCTAATAAACCTTCTGTGGTGTCCTTTATGCTTATGTTCTTATGTTATTTATTTAAATTAATTTCTACTTTCTGTTACCAGTGATATATATTCTCCTATTGTTAGTCAACTAGATACTGTCTCCCATTTATAAACGTAGGACTAAGCTTTATTGTCATGACAGTCTCTGAATTTAATTAGGCTTTACCACAAAATCTGTAATACATCTTTTTGTTAATATGTGAGTGCAGTACTGGATATTTATGATTTACTTTAAATAATGACTTACAGTAATTAATGGAGAGATTTCTGGTCAATGCCTGGAGTGCTATTAGAGGGTCTGCATTTAGTTTTAAGCACCATTCTTCAGGACCAAAGAGGAAGGTTAATTATGGTGATCATTACAAGTCCTAACACTAGACTCGGTAAAATTATAGACCACAGTCAAGCTTGAAAGAAACTTGGGTTCAGTGACACTTAACCCATAAGCAGTTTGTCACAATTTGCAACATGTTTCTTACTTGATTTGTTAAATATTTTTAGTAATGTGCATCTTGATGTAGTACTTTTAAATAGCTGCACTGTTTTTAAGATCTAGCGAAAATAAGATATGTATTCACCTTGCAGAGAGCTTGGTGACATAGCTGCTGAGCATCGACAAGGGACGCAAGTCCTGCTGGACATGTACATATGGCAGGAGGTGAAGGACCACCAAGGAAATATGGCCATCAAACTCAACAACACTTTTAGAGAAAATCTCAAAGTGGCAGTTCTTGGAGGGTAAGATTTCTTGTTTGTCCTGTTAAGTAGTTGTTTTTCTCGAGTAAACTATTTTGCAATTTTAGTATCTTATGCTTGTGTTTTCTGAGGGGAGCCCCGTCGGTTCCCTGAAGTTATCAAACTGACATGTGCCATATTAGTTTGGTGCCATCTGTCCTTGAAGTTCGAGTGTCTACTGGGGGCCACGAGTCAGAACCTGGCCCCCTCTGAGAGGTGAAGGGAGCAATGGCCATATGAGCTCTCTGTATGTAGAGTGTTTCATGTCTGCCATTGACCGGGGAAGGCACCGAGAAAGGTAGGTGAACCATTACAAACCTCTAACTGGTTAAAATTGCAACCTACGTCCAAACTGAGGCCCAGAACTCTCCCCAATAGAAAACAATGAAACAAGCAACACATCATAAAACTAGCGCAGCCGCTTTTTAGCGCCTCACCCTCCCCCGACTGTGGGGAAGGGGGGACCCGAGCGAGCAGGCTGCAACCCCCCCCCCCCCCCCCAGTTCGTAGACTGATGTGCCGGTGCCCGCACGTCCTTTCAGGACCCAGTTTATTGTCTGGCTTTGCATTTACCAAAAATATAAAATACCAAATGCTCTCCCAGTACAGGGAGAGCTGACCAAGGTTCTCACAACCAGTATGGATGCTAACGATTTTTTTTTCAAAATGGTATCTGTTTACTGGAGTCCTGAGGCACAGGATGTGAGCCCTGTGTACCCGTGGGAGTTGACTCATTCCCTATACCTAAAGGGAGACCCTTTACCTAAAGGAAGATATATATAGTTATACCAGAGCGCCTTAAGGTGCTCTGTGCTGTGCAGTAGTTAATGACTAGTAAAATGGTCTAATTTTTGTTATTTTATTTTCAGTGGAAAACCATGGACTATGTCTGCTGCTCTAGACTCCGATCCACATCAACGAGATGTTGAGTTTTTAGATAAATATGCAATGGATAGATGGGAAAGTGTTCTACAGTTTCTCGTGCAGCCTGGACAGGGTCAGACAGCCATCTCCAGAGATGCCATGCGCACATTACTTCATGCAGGTCTTATTGAAAGGTATTTTTGTTATAAGAAGGCAAATTACAATATATTTTCTATTAAAAAATAAGTTAAGTTTACCACTGAACTCTTCACACCACTTAAGCTTATATGGCATGTTTCTGTGGGGAGCCCCTTCGGCTTCCTGGAGCTATCGGGCTAATGTGAAATTCATTAGACCAGGGCATTAGTCAGGAGTTCAGCCTACGGGGGACCACGACCCAGAACCACCCCCCCCTCAGAGTGGCACAGGGAGCAATGGTCTTGGAACCCCTTCCCTCTGTGGTTGGGGGGTTTTCCTTATCTGACATCGACCAAGGTTAGGCACCCAGAAAGGTAGGCATAACAAAACAAACCCCACATGGAAGAAAATTACAACTGAAAACGAAACAGAGCGGCAGAACTCCTTTCAATCCCAAGGAAACAAGCAAATGTCACATTCCAATTACTGCTCGTCAATGCAGCCCCCTGGAGGGGAGGTGGGGAACCCTGAACCACCAGACCATTGGTGGTTCAGGGTTCTGGTGACCCAGCCATTCCAGTTTGTCGGCTAATGCAATCCAGGGCGGTCATCATCTCTGGCCTTGATTTCTTACGGAGTGTTTTGCCATAGTGATGTCCTCTGCTGTTTGTGGTGTGGTGTGTGTCATGACCTCATGCTCCACAGCAATGCTGGAATCCATAGCCTGGCCAATAATCAATTTGTCTAGGGGTATAAAAAAGGCTAGCAAAAATACTCCAGTTTACTGGGGCATATAACATAGGTCTCCGTAAAAATAATAAGAAAACTACAGTTCTCTACCCCCCCTCCCTGTCTAGCCCATTGTCGCCATGAGGGGGGCTTAGTGGGTGGCTGCCTTTTGTCTGTTTTGATCATTCTTTTGCCCTTCTTTTGTTTTGACACCCGGGTGTTTGAGGAGGCACACTCTTGCACTCGTAGAACTGTAGTACCCAATGCAAGTGATGAGTCACAATAACGTGGCTAAAAGTATGTTGACCAGATCACACACTAGAAGGTGAAGGGACGACGGCGTTTCGGTTCGTTCTAGACCATTCTCAATTCGATTGGGATGAGGAAGTAGAGACAGGCAATAAATAGGCAAGAGAGAGGTGAGGAGCAAAGTAAGGTGTAGTATACCTAGTTGATGGGGTTCTGGGAGTTCTTCTACTCCTCAAGCCCTGCCCGAGGCCAGGCTCGACTTTGAGAGTTTGGTCCACCAGGCTGTTGCTTGGAGCGGCCCGCAGGCCCACATACCCACCACAGCCCGGCTGATCCGGAACTTCTGTTAAAAAACAGTCCAGTTTTCTCTTGAAGATGTCTACGATTGTTCCGGCAATATTTTTTATAGTTGCTGGGAGGACGTTGAACAACTGTGGACCTCTGATATTTATACAGTGTTCTCTGATTGTGCCTATGGCACCTCTGCTCTTCACTGGTTCTATTCTGCATTTTCTTCCATATTGTTCACTCCAGTATGTTGTTATTTTACGGTGTAGATTTGGGACCTGGCCCTTCAGTATTTTCCATGTGTATATTATTTGCTATCTCTCTCGTCTCCTTTCTAGAAAGTACATTTGGAGAGCTTTGAGATGATCCCAATAATTTAGGTGCTTTATCTCGTCTATGCGTGCCGTATATGTTCTCTGTATTCCCTCTATTTCAGCAATCTCTCCTGCTCTGAAGGGGAAAGTGAGTACTGAGCAGTATTCAAGACGGGACAGAACAAGTGACTTGAAGAGTAGAACCATTGTAATGGGATCCCTGGATTTGAAAGTTCTCGTAATCCATCCTATCATTTTCCTGGCTGGCGCAATATTTGCTTGGTTATGCTCCCTAAACGTTAGATCGTCGGACATCATTATTCCCAAATCCTTTACATGCTGTTTTCCTACTATGGGCAGATTCGACTGCATTTTGTACCCTGTATTATGTTTCAGATCCTCATTTCAGGGATGGGCCAGAGCCTTGTTCTGACTTCAGTTTTATGAGTATACAACTTTGGCATTGTTTTGAGATGATGTATTTCAGTTTTTTAGTTGCTAGTACAAGTTGATCTTTTCAGTGATAGTTTTATTTTCATTAAAACCTTATTAATTTTATTGTAAAATACTGTTCAAATCTAATGTCTTTGGTATTATTGCTTACTAACATTGGTTTATTTTGCATTGCCCACAGCAGTGATGAGTCAGACAATATGCAAATAACAAGCTCAGGCTTCCAGTTTCTTCTTCTTGACACAGCTTCACAAGTTTGGTTCTTCATCCTGAAATACTTGGAAACTGTTACAGAACGTGGTCTTAGCCTTGTGTCATGTCTCACATTTCTCTTTAAGCTGTCTTTCTCAACTCTTGGTAAGGTGAGTGGTACCAGTATTCATAACTGTGTTTTACAAGTAGCTGTTCTGTTATTTCTTAATAGGAACAAACTATTCTTTCTGTCAAATTTTGCTTGGAAGCCATCTGTGGGGAATTCTGACTCGTGGGATTTTATTAAATTTTTTTTAATTTATTAATTATTTAAATTCTAATTTATGATGTATAATTCAATTTATTTCTTATATCTTATGATAGCTTAGCAGACTGTATGTTTTACTGAGTGCACTGTAGGAATTTAAATTCTCCCACAAGTCATATCCCTACACAAGTTTGGGGGGTTATTAATTGCACCCTATCAATCGAGAATTATCGATTGACGTGAAATTTTATTCTAAATGGTTAATACTCCTGGAGTTAGTTTAAAGGATTAATAGTCTTATCTGATTAGAAGACTTCAATTTATGGATTATTGGGACATGTGGACAATCAGCCAGGTGTGGGCCTCATGGCTCTGGCGTCGATACATCCCCACGTGATGCAACAGGTTGATGTCGCCAAGTTCCTCAGGTTGCCACAGAATAATAAATTGGATAAGTTCAGATTTAGGAAAGACTTGGGTAAATACTGGTTCGGTAACAGGGTTGTTGATTTGTGGAACCAATTACCGCATAACGTGGTGGAGGTGGGGTCCCTTGATTGTTTCAAGCGTGGGTTGGACATGTATATGAGTGGGATTGGGGGGTTATAGATAGGAGCTGCCTCGTATGGGCCAATAGGCCTTCTGCAGTTCCCTTTGTTCCTATGGTCTTAACAGAGGTCTCAAGACAGAGCCTTGAGGCACTCCACTTATAACATTTTTCCCACTCTGACTTAACCCCATTTATACTAACTCTTTGTTTCCTTTGGTATAGCCATGCCCTAATCCATAAGAACTAGTACACAGCCGTTACCGGTAAGTAGAGTACACAGCCGGTAAGTAGAGTACACAGCCGGTAAGTAGAGTACACAGCCGGTAAGTAGAGTACACAGCCGGTAAGTAGAGTACACAGCCGGTAAGTACAGTACACAGCAGGTAAATAAAATGCACAGCAGGCAAGTACAGTACACAGCACCCAAATTCTGTTCAGAACAGGCAAATGCAGCAGACAACTATATTATACAGCAGTCAAGTACCAGTACAGTAAAATATTTGGCTGGAAAGTGAACATTAGCTCCCCAGTCAGGAATACATGGTGGGTTAACTAGAGCATACTGTATATTATCAAAACAAATGTAGCTCTTTACAACATTTTGTTTCAGGATTACAGCATGGAAGGAATGGATAATGAGCTACTAACCTTCCTCCAACATCTTCGGGAATTTGGTCTCGTGTACCTGCGCAAACGTAGTTCTGGAAGATTTTATCCCACAAGATTAGCACTCAACATCACTGCTGGGCAGAATAAGGTTAGTGTGTCCAAACCCTTTCACTGCTGATTTAAAAAAAAAAAAAAATGCTCTTCACTCTCCTCATCCTTTCCGTCAATTTAATTTTTTTAAAATTTATCTTAAATATTTTAAACAAATTAAAAATACAGTAGAACCTCGAGTAACGATCGCCTCAACTGGCGAGCATTTTGGGTAACGAGCACCCAGATCACCGACAATATGTCTCGTATGGTGAGCGCTCATTTGAATAACGACAACACCACATGGTGGGGTCGCGCTGCTTCTCACACATTCTCGGACGCCTCCGACGATGCAAATAAATTATTATTTTTTTCTTTAAAGATGTTAATGATGCTGAGATATAAAGGGGTGACTGCTGTGATGTTGCAAAACATCAACTGTTTTGTAGAAAAAAAATGAAATTTTTTGTAAAACAACAAATGTCAAAAAGGTTCGTTTGGTGTTTGGCAGGTAGGCTGCTCCATTTAATGCTAATTTATGTATATATACAATCTATTTACACACTGTACAGTATCACACACTATATATACACACCATAAACACACTCAGAACTCCACGAGTGTGAGCTGTCACACCCAGCCAGCCACTCCTCCCTCTCTCCTCCAACATCGTACTCGCCATCACCCCTCCTCCCACCATACTGTTATTGTTTTATTACACTATTTACATATGTTATATATACCTATCTACATTTTTTATTCACCAGAACTATGCAAGTAAGCCGGTATTGTGTCCAAACAGTATAGTGGCCACCATACCCTGCATGAGAAATCACACAGCAGACGACGCTACGATTACGACGTCACCTCCCTCCCCAAAATAGCTCCTCTCAACATACTCCTGTTGCCGTTATTACACTATATACACACATTGTATATACCCATGTACATATGTGTTCACCATAGTGAACCACTAAGCTAGCATGGTGAGCAAAACAGGAATGGCTGCCACACACAGTGACGCTACCTCGATCTTCTCCCTCCATCCCCCCCGTCCCCCCTCCCGCACCAAAATTCCTCCTCCCACAATACTACGCACATATGTACATGGGTACATACACACATTGTATATACACGCATGTACATATGTGTTCACCTTAGCGAACAACTAAGCTAGTATGGTGAGCAAAACAAGAGTGGCTGCCACACACACACAGTGACGCTACCTCGATTCTCTCCCTTCCTCCCTCACCAAAATTCCTACTCCCACAATACTATGCACAGCACTAATATCACCACAATCCTGGTCACTAATTCCTGTAAATGAATAATTGACCACAATTTTATTTTGTAAAGGGACGTAAGAATTCGTTTGAAGATTCCTAGATGGACGAAATAATGCTGTGGTGCTGTGGCTAGCGCTGTGAACATTGTGAACAGCATGGAATCACTAATATTTTAATATTGTACACAGTAATTATCACTCTCAGGCTCTTCTGTAATACTATCTTGGCTAAATAATACAAGTAATATAAATATATATATATATATATATATATATATATATATATATATATATATATATATATATATATATATATATATATATATATATATGCGAACAGCCTGAATGGTCCCCAGGACAATATGCAACTGAAAACTCACACCCCAGAAGTGACTCGAACCCATACTCCCAGGAGCAACGCAACTGATATGTACAAGACGCCTTAATCCACTTGACCATCACGACCGGACTTTGTCCGGTCGTGATGGTCAAGTGGATTAAGGCGTCTTGTACATACCAGTTGCGTTGCTCCTGGGAGTATGGGTTCGAGTCACTTCTGGGGTGTGAGTTTTCAGTTGCATATTGTCCTGGGGACCATTCAGGCTTGTTCGCATATATATATATATATATATATATATATATATATATATATATATATATATATATATATATATATATATATATATATATTTATATTACTTGTATTATTTAGCCAAGATAGTATTACAGAAGAGCCTGAGAGTGATAATTACTGTGTACAATATTAAAATATTAGTCGTGATGGTCAAGTGGATTAAGGCGTCTTGTACATACCAGTTGCGTTGCTTGTCCGGTCGTGATGGTCAAGTGGATTAAGGCGTCTTGTACATACCAGTTGCGTTGTTCCTGGGAGTATGGGTTCGAGTCACTTCTGGGGTGTGAGTTTTCAGTTATATATATATATATATATATATATATATATATATATATATATATATATATATATATATATATATATTAAATCTGAGCATCTTGCCCAGTGTCGTATATATAGGATATTAATATATATGGTTCATATATAGGATGTAAACATGTATGAGTCATATGTGTGTCCTTACATGTTTGTTGTCACTGTCAAGGTAGTTAGCAGTGTAAATATATATATATATATATATATATATATATATATATATATATATATATATATATATATTTTTCAGTTTTGGTCGCCATATTATAGAATGGATATAAATTCACTTGAACGTGTCCAGCGTAGGATGACTAAGTTAATTCCCCAAATTAGAAATCTTTCATATGAAGAAAGATTAACAAAGCTTAAGTTGCATTCACTGGAAAGGCGAAGAGTTAGGGGTGACATGATAGAGGTTTACAAGTGGATGAATGGACATAACCGGGGGGATATTAATAGGGTATTAAAAGTATCAACACAGGACAGAACACGAAACAATGGATATAAATTGGATAAGTTTAGATTTAGGAAAGACTTGGGTAAATACTGGTTCAGTAACAGGGTTGTTGATTTGTGGAACCAATTGCCGCGTAACATTGTGGAGGTGGGGTCCCTCGATTGTTTCAAGCACGGGTTGGACAAGTATATGAGTGGGATTGGGTGGTTATAGAATAGGAGCTGCCTCGTATGGGCCAATAGGCCTTCTGCAGTTACCTTTGTTCTTATGTTGTTCTTATGTTCTTATATATATATATATATATTATTTATTTATTTATTTATTTAATTTTTTTTTTTGACATTATTAGGCAATGCTGTGGTCACAAGCTGAACAGCAGTGCTGTGAGCTCATGCTGCGTGTGCCAGCCTTGGTGGCTCACTCAGTACTGAGGCTCTCACACCCGGGAATGTGGCCCACGATTTTTTTTTAAAGATGGCATCTGTTTACAAGAGTCCTGAGGAAGCTGATGTGAACCCCATGTAGCTGCGGGAGTTTTGAATGGAACGCTAAAAATATAAATACCCTGAGGCGTGTTGTGCGAGAGCCTGCAGGCACGTTGCGCAGTTTAGGGGTTAAGAATAAACTTAATTTGTTCATTCAACACTGAATTTTTTTGACATGAATTGAAACTGCTATTCAGTTTACATGACTTGAATACAAATCTTTGGTTTGTATTCTATACACAAGTTTTAGTTGGGAACTTCAATGTCTGAAGCTCAGATTTAATGAATAAAATACATGAAACAAAAATTCAATTCTTTTATTATTTTATTTTAATCTTTCTCAGTTTTAGATAATGGAGATACTTAAAGATATACAGTACATCAGTTTATGACTATAATGAATAGGGGTCATGATATTTCCTTTACAATCTTCATGTATTCCATATGTGTATATTGAATGAATGATCCAAATGTGTTGTTATCTCATAAGGATTCACATATATTAATATTCTCTATACGACTCATATATATATATATATATATATATATATATATATATATATATATATATATATATATATATATATATATATATATATATATTTTATTTATTTATTTATTTATTTTGATGTCATATATCTGACTCATACATGTGTACATACCATATATGACAGTGGGCAAGGTAGTTAGCAGTGTAATTACCCAAGTTGTAATTACACTGCTACCTAACTTGCCCAGTGTCATATATATAGGATATTAATATATATGGTTCATATACAGGATGTAAACATGTATGAGTCATATGTGTGTCCTTACATGTTTGTTGTCACTAGCTGCAGATTATAAAATATCTCTCATTCAAAGTCAAAGATATTCCATCATGTACTTCATAACTTTAAACTGTCATTTCTAATACAAAATGACTTTACAAATGACAGTGATGGATCTTTTTCAGGGCATCATTGACGTGCCTAAACATGGTTATCTGGTGATTGAAACAAATTACAGAATATACGCTTATACTGTCTCCGAACTCCAAATAGCACTTCTGTCTATTTTTACAGATATAGAGGGCAGGTAAGTTTTTATTTTTGTTTTCTGTGGGGAGCCCCTACGGCTCCCTGGAGCTTATCAGGGCTAATGTATGTTATATTAGACCGGGACATTAGCTAAAGAGTTCAGACTTACCAGGGACCAGTGCCAGAACCTGGCCCCTTCAGAGAGGTTTCAGGAAGCAATGGCTCTGGAAAACCCCCTTGTGGTTGGGGTTTTCCTTATCTGCCATCGACTGGGGTTAGGCACCCAGAAAGGTAGGCATAACAAAACAAACCCCACATGGTAAAAAACAAACAAAAAACCGAACAGAGAGGTAGAAACGCCCTACAATCCCAAGGAAACAAGCAAACATCACACTTTACTGACGCACCGATCATCCGCGCAGCTCTCCACGTCCCGAGAGGGGAAGGGGGGAGTCCTGGACCTCACCGCGCCAGCTGCCTAGCATCAGTTTGTAAGCTAATGTCAACCGGGATAGACGCTTCTCTGGCCTCAGTTCCCTAGGCGGTGTTTACCTTGTGTGGCGTTCACTGCCGTGTGCTGTGTTGTGCAATGACCAGGTGTTCCTCATCAGTACCAGGGCTGCATGCGCTTAGGGGCTTCCTTCCCTAAGCGCCCTATGAGTACTGCCCTTGCGTGACAGGGTTATCTTCCCTGGGGCGTTTGAGAACCATTCCCATAGAGGTTCTTGCTGCTCGGCATTTGCCTCGCCCTTGGGGCTAGCTGGGGCTTGGGACCCTTGTTTGGCCCTGGGTAGGGACTGGTATTGTGCTGGTTAGGGCGTCAAGGTGTTGCGCGATCTGCCACCTAAGCGGCGACTGGTTCCTGTTGCCTCTGGAGACGGTGTACTTTTGCGGGGGTTTTCTTTTGTTTTTATTTTCATTTGCCTGGTGGGAGTCTGCCTAGTGTGGCTATAGTTCCACTGGTAGTGTTTGATGGCCTTTTGCTAGGCCCCTGTGATTGTACATGTCGCAGGGGTTTTCAGTGTTTTACTCTACCCCCTTGTTATTTTTGGGTTTCTTAACCGGTTAGCAACACCTTGCCCGGGCTTCCTGTAGTTGTTACCCCCTGCGGGCCCTGGAAACCCCTGTCAGGGTTCGGTGGACCATTGAATGTGTCTTGCGTGTTCCAACCCATCTTGTACGGGATTGTTGGTTACTGTGCCCTTGTCTCCGGGTGACAGTCGCCACTTTTATCTCCGTCATGTAGCCTGTTGGGTCACTGACACCTTGACCAGGAGTCTTGCAAGAGATATTTTCTGCTTGTTCTCCAGTACTCTCCTGATGTTATTACTGTTCAGAGTACAGGCGGCATCAGTGTTGCAAGCTAGGTTAGGTTGCTGCAACACGCTAGGTTGGTTTCCCGCTCGGATGCCCCAGGGCCGCCCCGTTTTGGTTAGGTGTTGTTCGCCCCTTTCCCTCCCTGTTTCCCGCTCCGGACCGTTTGCGGGTTTCGGAGTCGGGGTGGGGTTTAGTTGGGGCCGAGACTGGTGGTTTCGGGGGCTGCCCCGTTCGGGTTGGGGACGGAGGTTTTCAAGCCTGTTCCTCCTGCCAAGGCTTCTGGGTCTTACCAGCGGCCCTTTCTTGCTGCATTTCCCATGGACTTCTTCCTTTGGGACGGTCGAGACGGCTGCTTACCGGGGAGGGGGGGGGTCCTTGGGTTATTGATGCTTGATTGGTTTGGCCATGGATGCGTTCTGTGTTGTCCGGTTGCGCTTTTTTGCCGTTACCTGCATACCGTGTCTGGGGATGCACTTTTTTGCCGTTACCTGCGTACTGTGTCTGGGGATGCGCTTTGGGTTGTTCCGGTTCCCCTCGTTCCCTGTTACCAGGTCTCTGGTCTCCCAGATCGTCTGCAGAGTTTTTAGGTCGTCCAGCCTGCGGTCTATCCTTGCGCCTGTGCTGTTCGGACGTTTGCAGCTTTTGCTGCTGTGTTGGTGACGTCTAGGGCTCATTTCGGGCGCAAGGATTTGAGGGTCGCACAGGTTCCTGGCTGCCCGTTCTTTATGCACGCGTCTGCTCCTGTGCATTCTTGTTGCCTTGGGTCGCAGGTTACAGCCTTTTGTCTCGGCTTCGCGTTGCAGAGTTTGTGGCGGCAGCCTCCCGGGTCAGCCCTTTCTTTTGCTTCTCTTTGTGTATGAAGCTCCAGGGAGCCGTAGGGGCTCCCCACAGAAAACCAGCGTTGAATGTAATGAAACGCCATATTCTGGGTGAGCCCCGGAGGCTTCCTGGCAACCCTCCCTCCCACAGGTCGGCGTTTTTTTCGTGTTGAAGCTTAGCTTCTGAACTGGTGCTTGGCAGCCGGCGCAGTGAGGTCCGAGGCTCCCCCCTCCCTCTCTCTGGTCGGGGAGGGCTGCGTGGCAGTAATGTACGATGTTTGCTTGTTTGTTTGTTTCTAGTTTTTTACCATGTGGGGTTTTTGTTATGCCTACCTCTCTGGGTGCCTAACCCCGGTCGATGGCAGATATGGAAAACCCCAACCTCAAGGGGATTTTCCAGGGCCATTGCTCCCTGAAACCTCTCTAAGGGGCCAGGTTCTGGCGCTGGTCCCTGGTAGGTCTGAACTTCTTAGCTAATGTCCCGGTCTAATATAACATACGTTAGTCCGATAAGCTCCAGGGAGCCTGCGGGGCTCACCCAGAAAATGGCGTTTCATTACATTCAACACTGGTTTTTTAACTTTTTGTAGTTTTGTATTGGAATATTCAATAGCTGCATATGAACATGTTTTCTTTCCTGTATGTTCATTTTAAGTGTAATTACTTTAATAAAACACAATACTTGGGGGCTTGGTAGTAATGTAGTGAAGGATAGAAGAGTGCAAAGCTAACTGTGTATTCCTGATGTTTTGTATTATTTGTGCCCTGAATATAACCAAATTATGTTAGTTTTGTAACAAGCTGTTAAAATTTAAACTTGCAGATTCCCCAACATGGTGGTTGCAAGCATCTCACGTGGCAGCGTGCGCCGTGCTCTCTTGAAGGGTATTGGGGCTGAGCAAATTATAAGCTTCCTGCGACAGCATTGTCACCCGCAGATGTTCAAGAACAACCCAGTAGTTCCGCGTACTGTGGCAGACCAGGTGCGTTAAGAATCTTGGGATGTTGTTAGTGAATTTGGCAGAATTTATTAGAAGATCTTCCCAGTGATAATTAAATATCCTATATAATGAGTTAACTTTATGCAAAAATCAATACAGCAGTTCTAAAATATAATTTTTGCCATGAGGAAAAGTGTTCACTTGTGTTATGTGACTTTATTGAATACATTGTTTTGTTTATTTCCTATTTTTTGTTTGTCTTTTCTGGGGAAAGCCCCATATCAGTCCATGCATCAATGAACAAAGGCACCATTTGGGATACTCACAGACGTAGGTTTGAATCCTCGTCACGGCCTTTGTGGATTAGTTTATTCAATATATTAGACTTGGCATCAGTCAATGTGCATGGATTTCTAGGCCTACCGGGGGACCATGAGCCAGAACTTGGGCCCCCTCAGAGAGGCACAAGGAGCAATGGCCTATAGAGACCCTTCCCCCTGTGGTTGGGAGCATTTTATGTCTGCCATCGACTGGGACAGGCACCCAGAAAGGTAGGTGCCCCAAAACAAACCCCTATTCTGGTAAAACTATTGCGACCAAAGGTCAAACAAGTGGACAGAACTACCCAAACGAAAATTGGCAAACTAGCATGACATCATCATGTCGCCGCGCCGCTGTCTGTGCAACCCCCCCCCCCTCCCTGGGAGGGGGAAGGGGGAGCCCCAGACCCACCTGCCAGCGACCCAACCTTCAGTTCTTAGGCTGATGGAAGTCTAGTGCGGTTGTGCCTCTGGCTCCGGTTTTTGTTTCAGTTCTGTGCCTTGTGGTGTGGGCTGTCTCTACAGGTGTTGCGTGAGCCAGGAGACATATTCCATGGTACTCGGGCTGCATGCTCCTAGGGTTCCCTTACCTAGGTGCCCTATAAGTACTGCCCTTGGGACTTGGGGCCACCTTCCACAAGTCACCTCGGGATCTACCTCTGTTGTGCCGTTTGTTGCTCCGTACTTGGCCGCCCTTCGGGTCAGCTGGGGTTTTCTTACCCTTGTTTGTCTCTGGGTAGGGGTAGTTTCGTTCACTGGTAGGGGCGTGGGGTATTGCAAAGCTAGTTTTCTTCATTGACAGTGGCCGGCTCTGTTCCGCCTGGGTACGTTGTTCTCTTACGGGGTTTTTCTTTTGTTTTCTGCCTGGTCAGGGGATGGGGGTCTGCCTGTGTGGTCCCCCATTATTGTTCTTGGGGTATGTATGTTTATACATCTATATTTCTGTGTTTGGTGGTCCTCCCCGCTTGGCCCCCGTGAGTGGACATGTCCCGGGGGGTTCAGCTTTAGCAGTTTGTTTGGTAGACTTGGGCACTGGTTCGTAGTTCCCTGCCTGGGCTTCCCTTAGTGTGTAACCATGGCTAAGGGCCTTGGGAAACCCCACGGGGGCTACGTGGTCCGATGGATGTGACCCTTGAATGGACCCCTCTGCTTCTTTCAGCAGATTGGTCCAGCCTGGTACGTGGCTGGTTTGCTCTTCTCCTCGAGTATTTGCGTCTGGACTTTCTGACTCGGGTCTATCATCACTTGTATGGTGGGCAGGTGCCTTCATTGATGGTGTCCCACCTGCATGCTTCGTCTTGACGGCAGTATAAAATTTCCTGGTGGTCCTTCTGTTATTTCTTGTCTCTTTGTAGGTGTACTTCTGTCTCAGATAGGGTTGTCTTGTCTTTCCTTTCATAGTTGTTCCAGGACCGTCATCTTATGTCGAATACTGTTGCCTCATATCATGTTGGTGGAGCCACTGCTGCTTGCGTTTGTTTCTATAGGCCATTACCTAGTGTATCTCATGAAACTGTTACAGTATATTTACACTTTAAGAAATGTATCAAAATGTTCTTGTAATGTAATGAAACTGAACTGAAATTCTTTTTGGAAAAGAAAATTTATTCATTGGTACAGTATACAGTATTTGCTACTACAGAAGTGACCATTCAGTTACAAATTTCCATTGCATATGCAGTAGTCATTAGTGTCTGTCCTCCATGGCTGCAGAGAACTATTTGACTACAGGTGTACAGTAGTAGGATGTTTAGCATTTGTTTACAGTAGGTAATTGAAACAACATGAAAAGGGAGGAGGAGGGGGGGGGGGCGCAAAGGAGTTGTCCCCTCCAAAGGTGGAGGGGGCGACAATTCAGCTTCACTTTTGAAGAAGCATGGTTTGATATAGTAAATCTTGGGTACAGGTTCATTATTCAATAAGTGGTCTAGTATTCTTATGATATTTAGTGCCCTGTGGCTCGTTTAATTTTGTTTATAACACAGAAATCATTGGCGAAAATGTACACACTAAAATTATGATAATAAACAAGTTACAAATAAACAAGTGTAAAATATTAATTAATGAGCTCTATCCCATCAACTCCTTGTACTCAGCTCAAATTGGGAGGTAGCATGGGCAGACCCAGTAAAGCTAGAGCATAACAAATATTAAAGGTATCTTCACTTAAATATTGTTATCATTCTTTAATGTATTGAAGCTTTATCTTTATTAAAGCTAATTATCTTTAATATATTTTATTCCAGATAAAACTGTGGGAATTAGAAAGAGAGCGTTTAGAATTCAGTGAAGGTGTCCTCTACAAAGATTTTATGTCTGTTCATGATTTTTTGCTCTTATCCAACTATGCATCTAGTAAGGGTGTGCTTATATACTCTGATGAAAAGCAAAGGACAGTGGTGGTGACCAAAAAAGGACATCCGAACATTAAGCAGTTCTGGAAGGAAGCACAAGCAAGGTAATATGTCAGTGATAGGGAATGTTAAGCTGTAACTACGTAATTTTGAGGAATCTTTGATACTATGCATAACTTTTATTTTTGTTTAATGCTGTATAATAAATAATATGTTTATAGTGTGTTTTACTGTTAGACTTTGAACCCTAATGTTGTAACTTATTTCTTTCTTGATTTGACATGCAGGTTGTGTGTCCGTGACCAACCCATTCTCTCAGTTTACCACTCTAAAAAAGTTACAGTAATTGTTTTTCCCTAACTGGAACTGTACAAATCTAACCTATCGAGGCTGTTGCATTAAAATCTTTAATATTATGGTGATTTAATTTTTAATGTGGTGATTTAATTTGTAATAAAGTATGCTGATTATATTTTTAATAATTATGTCTCATTTTTAATGGATTGATCAGTTCTGTAAAAAATGCAGCATATTTGGACAAGGACTGGTTTGGTTGCCTTTACATGCTATTGAACTTTATTTTTTTTTATGAAAGTTAAATGACTAGTTTTGTTTGATAAATTAAATAATGTGATACTATTTAAAATGTTTTTTTTAACCAAAGTCGAACCGTCAGTTGACTATGGGAAAGTGAGGTCTAGTTCCTACTTCCCCACCTCCTAGCCTTTTATACTTCTCAACCATCAAGTTCTGTCTCGTGTCTTTTCTTCAAGTTGTAAATAAAAGTAGTTTTAACAACTTCTTTCAGTGCATTCCTCTTGCCATCCACCTGTACAGTATACAAGAATTTTCTTACATCCATGTGACTCGATAGTACAGTATATCTAGTTTCCGGTGTTCTTTTGTCGTATTGCCTCTCTAAGGTTGTGAAGTTGAGTTTTCTTATCCTCCTCTCAGTTCTAATACTTGTCTGGTGAAAATATCTGTACTCCAGTAATGGTCTCACATGGGCTGGTCCTATGTTCTGCAACTTCCTTTATTCTGCTGACGTTATCCATTTTACATTTGCTTCTGGTGTTAATTAATTAATGTTGGAATTATGCTCAGACCATTATTTTTTTCTTTTAGCATGTATATTAGTTGAATTCCTATTATAGTGAAATTTCATTTAGGTCTCTAATCCCCTTTCACATCCTCATTATCTCTCGCTTGTTTGGATTTACTTCCAATAGCTATTTATCTGCCCATTTTTGAAGTTTGTCTAGGTCTTCCTGCAGTATGCAGTGCTTCTCAGTTCTTAATCTCCTTGTTAGCTTTGCATCATCTGCAATATATGAATTCTCTCCTTCTGGATGATCATTAAAATAAATTTAAACAATTAATGATCCTAAGATAGCCCTAAGGGACACTAATGTTCACTACTCTCCTGCTTAACTATTCCTAAGGATGAGTTGAGGTCAGTCGCAGTTTGGATGAACATATCCTGAGGATGGGTTAAGGTCAGCCACAGCTTGGACAAGCATATCATGCAAATGGGTTGGGATCACCTGCAGCTTCGACAAGCATATTGTGAGGATTGGTTGGGGTCAGTCACAGCTTGGATGAGCATATCATGTGGATGGGTTAGGGTTGGCTGCAACTTGGATGAGCATATCTTCCTAGTTGTTCAAGTCAGTGCAACGTGGATGAACATATCATAAGGATGGGTTTGGGCCAGCTGCAGCTTGGATAAGCATATTCTGAGGATAAGTTACTCAGTGAAATCTGATCTGTAATAAGCAGAATAACCAAAATGCATACACACACATCCTCATCCCCTTCCTTATTGCTAACAGTATCTTCTATACTTCATAACTGCCCCTCTGGACACACCCTCACCAGGAGTTTCACACATAATAATAATAAACGAGAGGATACTAAATATAATAATAATGGATAATAAAACGAGAGGGTCTTATAAAAATAATGAGAGAGATTATAGCGAGAGCAGATAAGATAGATCACGACTGTTGGTAGTCAGTGACTTCAATTTGAAATCCATAGACTGGGGGGCATATGAAGTTAGAACAGACGACTTTTGGACCTGTAGATTCGTAAACCTCATCCCAGAAACATCCATGTATCAACATGTTAATCCTTAAATGCGCATATCATATATAAATGATGACCAGACCACACACTAGAAGTTGAAGGGACGACAACGTTTCGGTCCATCCTGGACCATTCTCAAGTCGATTGTGATGAGGAGGTAGAGACAGGCAAAAAATAGGCAAGAGAGAGCTGAGGAGGAAAGTAAGGTGTAGGGTGACAAAATATGATATCGGTGACAAAACTGAAACCGTGCACATCATTTATATATGTTTTCGTGTCTAGTGCTATAATTTAAACGCCCCGCGTGGGATAGGGGTAGTCATCGGCGAGCCTCAACTGACCATAAACAAACCCCCGCCTGGGAAAAAATTCCAGCGTGGGTCCCCTTTGTGTACAGGCCTCAGTTACCCAGCGGACACCATGGCAGGCGCATCAAGTTCCAACGACTGACCCCGCTCAACGAGGCGTTCCTCGCGACCTCTGACCGAGGACGAAATTAATCGTAATTTGTTCCCGGATGGTGATGAGTCTGATATTGACGACTCAGACTGATCATGACTACACACAGCCCTCAGAGGTGGATACGACCGACGACAAGTGTGAACATGCTGGGTCCACCAGGGCTAGGCCTAGTATCTCGCCCATGCCTCCTCGCCCTCACTCGACCCCAATTTGTGCAAGACCACACAGTTCATGTGCTCCCTTGCAAGATATTAATGTTTTGCTCGACGAGTCTGAAGACGGTGCATCATTTTTTCATTTTCATTTAAAAAATGCTGATGACTTGGTGCATAGTGTGTCAGGTCCCTCTGTGCCATGTCAAATGTTTTAACGAGTATCACAGTCTTGATGACATCTAAATGTCCAAGACTGGTGCAAAAACATGTAAATACAGAATAAGTGGGGTGTATATAGTGAAAATAAATCATCAGAAATTTTATATTTTATTGAATACGCCATAGATACTGTAAATAATAACGCGAAAATAAATTCGCGGCAACTCGGGCTCCTTCTCCGGCGCGCCTGACTCACCCTGGGTGCACAGTGGTCCAGCGAAGATGAAGCGTGACGTCATCGCAGATCTTCTCGGCTCATTTACGTCAACGGTAAGTGCAATTAAATTTTTTTTATTATTTTTCCCGTGCTCAGGGAACACAAATAAAGTGATTAAAAAAAAATTGGATTTTTTTTTTTTGTTGCGCCTGTGGGTGTTCATTCTATTTGAACCCCCTAGCGGCCCGAGGGTTAAACAAGCTACAATGATGAGGGAAGGGGATGTTCCCTCCATGCTGGATTTGATATTTACCAGGAAGGAGGAAGAGATATTTGACATCCAATACCTTCCTCCCTTGGGTAAAAGTGACCATGTCTTTTTGGGAATAAAGTATGCAATGCATTATACTGTATATAGATGTCACGTCTGAGACAGTAAAAAAAAAACATGCTTTTTCTGAAAAACTGTGTTTTTCATGTGAGGGAAATCTTCGAAACCTCTTTACTGATTGATTTGAAATTTTGACACAACGTTGCATTCGAGTAGGCGTGTCTTTTTATATATCTACTATATACATGCCTCACCTGTGACAGGAAAAAAATATGCTTTTTTGAAAAACCGCCATCTGTTGGACATAAGGGCAACATATCTGTAATCTCCGGAAGTTCTTCACCAATTGCTTTGAAATTTTGACACAACGTTGCATTTGAATAGACGCATCTTTTTATATACCTACTATATAGATGCCACCTCTGTGACAGGTTAAACCATGCGTTTTTGAAAAACAGTTCCATCTGTTGCACATAATGGCAACATGCACGCTATACTAAATATATCACAAATTCCATTTCAATGTTTCCGATTGCATTGATAAATTTTATTTTCATAGATTTCGATTTATTTATATATTTGATTTTTTAGTGAATTTTTTTGTGTGACATTGTGTTGGAATTGAGCTGTGTTGTTTACCATACTGTTCATTTTGTAAGTATAAGTATAGATGCCACACCTGTGACAGGTAAAACTATGCCTTTCTTGAAAAACAGCGCCATCTGTTGCATGTAGGAGCAACACACATGCTATACTAGATATGTTACAATTTCAATGTTTCTGATTGCATTGATAATTGAATTTTCCTAGATTTTGATTTATTTTCATTTTGATTTAATTATTTTGTGTGAATTGCATTGGAATTGAGCTGTGTTGTTTACCAGACCATTCATTTTGTGAGAATAGTATATTTTTATATTTTTTCATATTTTCATTTCATTTTTTAACTTTTTCTTATATTTCAGTGATGGAAACATCAGATCACTTGATGTTCCCATTTTCTGATGGGAACATCAGACCATTAGGGAAGGCATCGGACGAGGGAGTGGGGAATGGTGGGGATGATGATTGGACGGAAGTGAGAGATGGTGCGGAGTACAAGGGGACAAGGGAGGGGGGGTAATGGTAGGGAAGGACGAGGGGACTGGAGAGTTTGGGATGGTGGGGGACGAGGGGATGGGGGAATGGAGAATGGTGAGGAGGACAAAGGGACTGGGGAGTGGGGCATGGTGGGGAGGACAAAGGGACAGGGGAGTGGGGCATGGTGGGAAGGAAGAGGGGATGGTGGGGGAGGACGAGGGGATGTTGGTGAGTGGGGAATGGTTGGGAGGCTGAGGAGATGGGTGAGGGGGGAATGGTGGAGAGAACTGGGGGACAGGCAAGGTTGCTATGAGCCACAGCAACGTGTGGCCGGATACTGCTAGTTTTTCATAAAACTTGTTTTAGGTTGTTTCCCCATTGTCGGGAATAGGAATCCTTTTAGGATCATCAAGGTTAGGGCTAGGCTAATGACTTACCTTCCCCAGTTGCCTAACTCCCGAGTATCAGATCGGCATTAGGTGTTAAGAAATGTAGCCAAATGTCTCGAGGAATAGTCAGAAAGGTGGAAAACATGTGTACACACACAGGGTTTATGTATATAGCCTGTTGCCATACACTGTTGTATAGCCTGTCAACAAGAATTAAAAGATATTGCAACACATTTAATATATAATTATACTGTATATTACTTATGCCATAAGCATAATTTTACCTTCCATAGTAAACAGGAAATTGTTATGAATGAAAGAATAAAGAATTTATTGTTATTTATTTATCATTTAACACCATATATTTATTTTACAGTAAGAAAATATAGTTTTGCAGCTAGCCAATAGACCACTTTCCTTTCAATCATTTTCTGATTCTAGCTCCATGCTACATTTAAGGCCAAGCTTAAGAAAAGTCAGGAAAGAGCTCAATTGATTACTGCAAAAATTCTTTTTTCTGCCCCTTCTCTGAGCCTAGCACAGTCTGTTTACATTTTAACAATTAAATATAGTTTTGAGAAGTGATTATTTTCAAGTGTGAGTGAAACATAGAAAACTTGAATGGGTTTAATCTACAAGTTGCTGCTGTTTGTTTTGTGATGGCAAAAGTTGAATGGGTTTACCCTACAGGTTGCTGGTGTTTGTGATGGGAAAACTGAATGGGTTTACCCTACAGGTTGCTGGTGTTTGTGATGGGAAAACTGAATGGGTTTACCCTACAGGTTGCTGCTGTTTGTGATGGGAAAACTGAATGGGTTTACCCTACAGGTTGCTGCTGTTTGTTTTTGTGATGCAAAATTTGAATGCGTTTACCTTACAGGTTGATGGTGTTTGTGATGGGAAAACTGAATGGGTTTACCCTGCAGGTTTCTGGTGTTTGTGATGGCAGAAACAGGTTTACACTACGTGTTGCTATATTTGTAATGGAGAAATGGTGATGGTCATACAGGAAGTCATTAGTTCAAATAATCTTAAATTTTTCAACCTGTCAAATATTCAATAGAGAAAGCCCCTAATAACAGGAACCTTGATTTTCTAATATTAAAAATTCATGTAAAATGTGAAAAAATAAAGTATAGTACAGCTATACGAAAGTTATGTTAATTTCTGACTTCAAATTATGTGTGGATAGGAAGATGAATATTTAATTGAAAAAACATTGAAGTTTTAAATAAAAATTTAAATACAGCATAACATGATTTAAAATGTATGCTAACATGATATACAAAAATATTTTGCAATAAATATGTTGACTATAAAACAAGTAATATACCAATGGCAATTAATGTATGCATATAATGAATAAAAAACTGGAGTGAATAAATAAAAATAGTTTATAGAGAAGTTTAACTGCACTCATCAACTGAGAGCCTTGTGTGAAGCTAAGCACTCACTCACTCAACCATGAGCCACATGTTTAGCTTTGCACTCGCACTCAACAACTGGGAACCATGTGTGAGGCTAAGCACTCGCAGCAACTGGGAGGCAGTACTGTATTAATGGGGGTTCACAGAGCTCAGATGTGATCTTCATACTCCCTGAATGCAAGGTGAAATGTTACCTTGGGCTGTGGTGCAAAGTTATCAACTTTCCTGATAAATTTTCCCAGCTTGGTGTAAACCCTGTAGGTTTATCTGTTTGGCAAAGTTGCCACGTGTAACTACAATTTGCTGCAGCAATCCTGGTTTTCTAAATTGACAGTCTTAGTCATTTTTGGCACTCCTCCAATCAATATTGATATTCACAAAATCTTGAGTACCCATGTCAGTTGTATCTAAGACATCTCATTGAAAATGTTTTATGCAAGCCAAAACCAGTCGTTTATGTCTCTGTCCTGTTGCTTGCAGGTTCATTTCCTGCTCAATAAAAAAGAGTGCATTCATACATTGTATTTAGCTCAAAGGGGTTGATGTGTGCTGCTCAGAGGATCTAATATTGGAACCTTGAAGTAGCTGGACCCAAACAGATCAATTAGTTCCACAAGCCGTTACAACAAACTTCGTTATAAAATAAACTCAAATATGTGTGACAGACTGAAGGCTAATTATGTGTAACATAACAGTGGTTAGAGGAAACCAGCTGAGAATGGCCTTTTCTTTCATGATTATTCTTGGCCAGTTCACTCAACCAATTAAGAAACGTCTTAGCATGGTGTTACGAATTATGTATGGATAGCATTATGAAGCTATGTATATTTGTAATATATGACACATGAAAATATATGATACAATTAATAACTACTGAATATGCACAAAGTCAATGAGGCATGAGAAGGATGAGAACAATGACTATAAACAAATGTCAGATGGGAAATTAACAGATCAAAATGTGGCAAATTCTTGATGATCGATGCTGTTTCAGCATCTGACACAACCTAAATATATACTTTGAACACTTCCTACATAGAATTTCTATATAGTACTTAAACTCATTCCCTCTTAGGGGCTTAATTCTAATATCGTACAGCACAAAACAGGCTAAAAATTCCAATACTGTGTAGCCTAGTAGCAACCAGAGCTTGGCTTCAGATGCTTCTGAATCTTACTTAACATCGCCTTTAATGGAGAAACAATCGTACTTAACATGGCCTTTAATGGAGAAACAATATCCTCTGACACATGCACTGTGTGAGTGATTTTTTACTTTTCCAGGAACACCAACATTAATATTTGTGCAGTGTCTGTCAATAGACGTGTTTTAATACTGAAATTACTTGCACGAGGACAATGTTCTCATTGATGTATTGTGTCAACATTGGGCTGCGCCATTGTTATCAAGCAGGGTCATATGATGATAGTGTGGCAGGTGTGTAGCTGTCACTAGTGCTTCTACCTGTTAATACTTCATACAAATACTGCACGTGCCCTGCCTAAATTAGCTGACCAGGATATGGTACACAAGAAGTACCAGAATCACTGTTCAATTTATAGGTAATACAATTTGCTCTTCATTTTGAATACTGTAGTAATTAAATTCATACTTATTTTCACCTTATAAATTAGTTAATAACAATACATCCTGGCTAGTTGCTTGTAGCAGATCTGAAGTAACATAACTATATGTATGAAGACTCCATGATTCTTATAGACCACAGTGTGCATGACAATGTAAATCCACATTAAATATGGATTAACTGCAATTGCCAACACCTTGTAGACATGTATCCTGTTACTTGCCCCTAAAGCAAGGCATACAGGTGACCGTTCTGTCACCCCTGTAGTGGGGCATATAGTGATTCATGTACTGTATCAGTACATAGAGTGAGGATCTCTGGTACTGAAACATCTCGGATGAAGCAAAAGGATGTTTCTTTATTTCCTTCACTTATTTCATTGTGGAAACTTTGAGGAATCTGCAGCTGAGGAACGTTTATGCAGTTTCTGTGAGTGGGTCCATAGTTAAAGTTTTCTTGTACTGGAGCTCAGGGTTATCCTGCCAGTCCTGGGGTCTGAGATGGTGGGCTTTCAAGATTGGGCGTGTAGAAGCAATCCACTTCTGCAGGTTGAAATATCAATAATTAGCTCATGTAGTTTATTACATAGATAAATAAACCACATTAATAGCAAGTAAAATTATTATTAAAATAAAAGCAAAACTACTCATACAAAATATAATATACAAAAAGAGAGCCGTAACTAATCATCCCTTGTGACATACCTCTCTGAAGGTACCCGGATACTGGAAGAACTTGTAAAGTGCATATCCAGGGATCCATGTCAAGGAACCAACCACCAGGAGCCAGCCCAGGGCTTGTGCCCACACAGGATACACATAGGTCTTGTTATAGGTCAAGGGTGTATGGAACACCATGGCAAAGATAACCATACTCTGTAAGGAGGGATAAAATAATACAGCTATCAACATTAAATGTTTACTCTATTAAACCTATAAAATAATTTAACTGAATTATTTTAAGTTATGGCCAAAATGCTTTGCATATTACTGTAGTGGCTTCATTAAATATGAATTTTCAGTAACAACTAATTTATATGATATAGAACACTGTATCATGTTCTGTGCATTTTAAAAAATAATAATAATAATTCTAATATTAATAATAATAATACTATTAATACTAATAATAATAATAATAATAATATAATATATTATAATATTACATAATGAAATAATATTACATTATTATTATTATTATAAAGTCTCCAAATAGATTCCCAGTTCTCGATGGGGACAAGCTACTCGTGACATTCTTGTGAACTGATAATATTAAATAATGAGAAAGTGTTAATTATTCACACTTAAAAAAATCAAGCAGATTAAACCCTTTAATGTATTTTCATCATTCTTCAGATACATACTGTCAAATTCTTGAATGTTTAACGAATGTTTAAAGGTCAAATGAATAAATCCACAAGGGCCATAATGAGGGTTCGAACTTACGTCCAGGATGATCCCAGACATGCCTTAATCGACTGCACCACGACATGGTATAAGAATTGCAACCGGGATTGCTACTGCTCTCACATGGATCCCGCAGTCTCTCCGAGACACAAACCAGGGTTTTACACAATTCCCCCATACACCCGGGCTCTGTCAACAAGCTGTTCTACCTCTTCGCCCTTACTTCACAGACATCACAATAGCGTGATATATCAAATGAATAAATCCACAAGGTTTATTCATTTGATATATCACACTATTGTGATTTGTGTGTTTGTTTAAAGGTCATGAATAGAGTTGAGTGGCAACTTCAAGATGCAAACTGTGATAACAAGCAGCAACCTGTGATCACATGCAGCATCCTGTGTATACATGCATACAAACATACATTCACACATACACATACATACATACATACATACATACATACACACACATACAGTATATCATTAAACTGGAATTTTACTGACAAAGGTGAGAAGTGGAGTGATGAACCGCCAGCAGATCATGAAGAAGGGGTTGACAGCGTGGCCCAGCATCATCATCACGTTGTCAGAGAAGCGCTTGGCGCCATACACCCAGGCGATGACTATACACTCAAAGAAACAGATGGAGAGCAAGATGATGCCACTTGCAGAGTATGAGTCGAAGATTTGGAAGACGTACATTCCACCCTGAAACATTTATAATGAAATAAATATACTGTATCATAAATATACAGATATACAGTACATGTCTTGCGTATATATTACAAGGTTGTATAAACTGTCTTCGCTCCCGTTCACCAAGACATGTCTGGCATCTCTACTCTGAGGTACATCTTGCTGTAAGCACTAAAGGCCTTGTATTTTTCAAAAATGTTGACAAAGTCATCTTTTACCCTTGTTCAAGCTTTTCGTACATCAGGATAAGATATTGTATCTGGCATGACATAACAATGAGGTGTTGTTATCACATTTGGAATCCTGGGCAGGACAGAAATGGTTTGGCATGCTTCCTGTCGCCTAATGCCTCTGTCCACCCAGTGGTAAATAGGTACCCAGGAGTTATTCAACTGTCATGGGGTTGCATCCTGTGGAGAGTCAATAGTTTGACCTTGAGGGGTATCTTGATATAAGCCTAATGTATAAATATACAGTACACAGGCTGCCTGTCCCCAACAAAATTAATTATATACAGGAAAACTAACAAAATGAATTATAACAAAGGCCCTACAACTTGGCCTCAAACTCATAGTCTGCTTCAGCTGGACATTTACATTAGATATCTTTGGGAATTTAAAGGATACAACAAAGAAGTAAATTGAATTTAAGAATAAGATAGTGCCAAATCACAGTAAGCAATAATCAAAGTACAGACAAAATTAACATTAACTAACTACAGAACCAATGGTACAAAGTCATTAAAAAGAAACAAGAATTACCAGCTTAGAAAGGGAGTGTACTGAGGCAGGTAAAGGTGTCACAGTAAAAAAAAAAAAAAAAAAGAGGAACACACGATTGAACAGAAGTAACTACGACATAAACATAAAAACAGACAGGTCCAAGTTGACTCCGAGGAAGACACAGCAAAATGAACAAATACTGATAAATTGACCAAAAGAGAGAAGAGAGGTATGAAGTAAGAAAAGCAGACAGCAGATACAGTGAAGGTATAGCTATAAACAGAGGAAGACATATCCTAGGTGAAGTTAATTGTAACCTGAGCCAGCTCTGCAGATGAAGGGTCCCGGTAAGAATCTTCCCCCTCACAGCTCCCTGCCCTGGCAACAGGTTTGGAAAGATGTTAAGGAAGAGTGGGTGGACACTTCAGGCACAAGCAAGTGGCTTTTGTGACACAGTGGTAAGGGAACAATCAAGAGAGTTGAGGGACACCTGCTTATATATCCAGGAGCACGGAGCAGGGCATGAGCGGGTTATGATGCTGGGTACAGCTACATAAGACAAGCCTCACAATTAGCTGAATGAGAAGTGTCTTTCATTCCCCTCCCAGAAATTTAATTTGATCTATGAACAAACTTGTTAAATGAAAATACAATACTGTACAGTATATTGAATACAGTACTGATAACAACTTGGTCAGTAATACATGAATTACTCAGTGATATGCAATATTTACTGAAACACTGGTAATACAAGCTCATCATTTATCCAGGATTACTCCAGGAAATTTATTTATTAGAACACCTTTCACCTTGACTAATGCTGCATCATAATTAATCCAGCATATGTAGAGGTTACTACAGTATACAGTATATCACCCAAGATAGTACTGATAGGCTCTCACATCAATCCAATAAATGTTCCCCATTATTTTCCAATATTGTACTTAATAAATTATTCCAGAAACTCGCACATTGTAATTGTAGGGAGGAGTGCTACCAGTTGTGTGCCATGTTCCATGCCTCACCTATGATAACAATTATCTATAGGTTCCAAAAAACGTTGCTCAGACTGTTGCTTACTTCAAACATTGAGGCAAATCCTTTTCCATACACAGTGAATGTCAAAGTCAACTTTGTCTGTCAGTCTCTTCTCAAGATATGTATCAGCATTGTGATAAATCTACCAAATGATCATTGGCTAGCACTAATGATAGGGCTTATCTTACTAAATTGAGTATGACCACTTGCCCTAGAACTTTCAATGGCTGGTGGTTTGGCATAGAGAATGCAGTACACTGTAAATACATCACAATGGTCTTCTGGACACCAACATGACTTGCTGCCGATTCCAAAAATGAACAGAAAATGGGTACAGTATCACATTGTGACTCAAATAGAGCACTAATGGAGCAGTAACTAACTGTTGCATGGCAAAGCACACAAGACTTATTAGCCTTCCACCAAATATTTGAGTTGTCAATCAAGAATGATATGAGTGGGTACTTTGGTATATTTGCATCATATAGAGATCACTGCTGCTCTTTTGTCTTGCCTTACAAAGATTCAATCAGGAAAAGGCTGTAATAACATTAAAGAGCCAGGGCTGAGTGCCCTCACTCCCTGTCAAACAGTTAACACTTTGGCGTGCCCCGCACGCCACCCCTCAACTGTGCTATTTGGGTCCCAGAGTTTCACGGGAGCGCGCGTTAATTCTGAAAAGTGTATACTCTCTTCAACTTTGTCACCTTAATTCTCGTCCTACGAGATTAAATTTGGTATCATTGTGTTTGCAATAGAATTCTCTACAGCACTAAATGCATATAAACTCCAAAAGCCCAGCTAATTACCCACAGCAAACAGAGAAAGTGCAAACGAGTTACCCAGGAGCGCGCAAAAGCGATAAAATGTGTTCACTCTTTTCACTGTGGTCACCTCAATTTTCGTCCTAGGTCTTTCATTTTGGCATCAATGGGTTCGCAATAGAATTCTCTAGGGGAACATTAGCATATAAAATAAAAAACCTGGTCACGCTCCACCTGCCGACGAGTTGAAGACGAGCCACACGTTAACCGCGAGTGAGCGCCCAGACGCCTTTCAGCTACACTCCCAATTCCTGCCCACAAATGTTTAGTATTTAGTATTTTAGTATATGTAGTATTATAGTTTAGTATTTTTTGTGTAGTAGTTGTACATCACATAAACATTGTAGATAGCCATTTGCACAAAATAGATGGTCATTTTTTTCGTCCATTTGTGAGTTTTCCTTATGAAGTGATAATATTTGATCATTTGGTCAAAGTGATCAACACCTTTCATGTTTGTATTGTAGTCACAGATTGCATTCGGCTTGTTGACAGTTACCAAACAGTCCCCCAAAAATCGGATAAAAACCTGATTTTTGGCAATTATTTTAGTGGATGACGCAATGCTGCGTCAACCCCAAGATTACCGACAGTAAACGGATGACGCAATGCTGCGTCATGCCCGGACTAAAGTGTTAAGTAGTGTACTGCACCCAATCACAGGTGGCCTCACTAAGACATAATGTCATAGGTTTCATCCCATTGGTTTCACTAGGGGTCAAGTGTACTGTAAAGCATCATTGACATATGAGCAACCCATCCTCTGAATTGACAGTACGGTTTAATACTAAGTGTAATAAGTACATTTCCTTACTGTCATACATAATTGCGCTTATGGGGCTGTTACATTTACCTCCCCATTTATTCTCCTCGTTTTCTGTTATGACACTTAAAATTTTAGGATGAAGTTTTCAAGTTTAATTCACTATACACAAGTTTTAAATAGGAATTTCTTTTTCAGTTTTATCAAACAATAGAGTTTTTATACAAAGTTTTAAAATATCCTAAGATACTTTACAATTTATTGATATATTTTAGTTTTGTTTTATTAGTTTTATAAAACTGTAATATCAATATAGCTATAGGTTAAGTACTAATTGTAATTAAGAAGCAATAAAATGCTTATCTTCAAACACTAAGAATGTTAGGTTAGGTCGTGGATTTCTATTCAGCTTTTCAGGTAAACTCAAACATTCACAGTACATGTGTATTTGACAGTACGGTTTAATACTACGTGAAAATAAGTACAATTCCTTACTGTTATGAATAGTACATAATTGCACTTACTTGTGCTGTTACATTTATCTCCCCATTTTTGGAGGACAGGCTGGATATGACATAAAAAGCTCTACCAGGCACCATCTTGCTTGACTAAAATAATATTATAAAATATGCATTCAAACTGATATAAGCCCTAGTACAATTAACTAAGAACAATCCTGCTTATTAGTATCTTCTTGGAACACATACCTGAGTGACCATTGTACAGCCAATGGCAAAGTCAAAGAGGCAGACGAATCCTACCAGGACTTCACGTCGGCGGCCCACACGCAGGAAGTCGGGGAACAAATCAACGATGGCAGTGATCACAGACTCCACCTGCAGGATGCAACACAGGTGCACAAGTATTAGCCAAGAACTCAATCAAAGCTGCTGGAAGCTGTCACTAAATTCAAAAGGCATTTATAATTACTAATTTGTTAGTAATATACCGTATTTAGGTTTTATATTTATATTTATTTAGGCCGACCCTAAAAGAGCCTTGAAGATGAACTGGAGAAGTGGCAATCATATGTGACTCCAGAAGTGGCCATAAGAAGTGACCCCAGAAGTGACAATCATAGGTGACCCCAGAGCAGTTTCCGTGGCGTAGTGGTAAGACGCTCACCTGGCGTTCTGCGAGCGCTTTGTCCTGGCTTCGTTCCTTAACTGTAGCCTCTGTTTAACTCAATAGTAAAATGGGTACTTGGTTGTAAAAATGATTCTTCGCAGGAGTCGTATTCCACGGAACATAGGATTAAGAACTTGCTTGAAACGCTACGCGTACTAGTGGCTGTACAAGAATGTAAGAACTCTTGAATATATAAATAAAAAAAGTGGCAATCATACGTGACCCCAGAAGTGGCAATCATATGTGACCCCAGAAGTGGCAATCTTAGGTGACCCCAGAAGTGGCCATAAGAGGTGACCCCAGAAGTGGCAATCTTAGGTGACCCCAAGAGTGGCCATAAGAGGTGACCCAGAAGTGGCAATCTTAGGTGACCCAGAAGTGGCAGTCTTAGGTGACCCAGAAGTGGCAATCTTAGGTGACCCAGAAGTGGCAATCTTAGGTGACCCAGAAGTGGCAATCATAGGTGACCCAGAAGTGGCAATCTTAGGTGACCCCAGAAGTGGCAATCTTAGGTGACCCAGAAGTGGCAATCATAGGTGACCCAGAAGTGGCAATCTTAGGTGACCCCAGAAGTGGCAATCTTAGGTGACCCCAGAAGTGGCAATCTTAGGTTACCCCAGAAGTGGCAATCATAGGTGACCCCAGAAGTGGCAATCATAGGTGACCCCAGAAGTAGCAATCATAGATGACCCCAATAGTGGCCATAAGAGGTGACCCCAGAAGTGGCAATCATAGGTGACCCCAGAAGTGGCAATCATAGGTGACCCCAGAAGTAGCAATCATAGATGACCCCAGAAGTGGCAATCATAGGTGACCCCAGAAGTGGCCATCATTGGTGACCCCAGAAGTGGCCCTAGGAGGCAGTCCTAACAAATATTCTTATTTAATATACCACAGTAGATGGGAAATACAGTAGTTAATGCATTCAGCTTACTAATGTGGGGAACCTCTCACCCCACATTTCGTTCGACCAGATGCCTTTGTTCATTTATCAATAAGCAGGTATCTGTGAGTTAATTAACTGTTGTGGGTTGCATCATTAGGATGGTCAGTCATTGCCTAAGGGGACATTGATAAAAGCAAGTAATACATCATGTGCAGATGGAGGGGTTGGAAAAGTGAATGTGATGTATGTATGTATGTATGTATGTATGTGTGTGTGTGTGTGTGTGTGTGTGTGTGTGTGTGTGTGTGTGTGTGTGTGTGTGTGTGTGTGTGTGTATACCTAAGTGTAATTACCCAAGAGTAGTTACAGGATGAGAGCTATGATTGTGGTGTCCCATCTTCCCAGCACTCTGTCATATAACACTCTGAAATTACTGACGGTTTTGGCCTCCACCACCTTCTCACCTAACTTGTTCCAACCGTCTACCACTCTGTTTACAAAAGTGAATTTTCTTATATTTCTCTGGCAGCTTTGTTTCGTTAGTTTAAATCTATGGCCTCTTGTTCTTGAAGTTTCGGTGGTTCTAGCAGTCTCCGTGGTGTAGTGGTAAGACACTCGCCTGGCGTTCCGCGAGCGCTATGTCATGGGTTCGTATCCTGGCCGGGGAGGATTTACCGGGCACAATTCCTTAACTGTAGCCTCTGTTTAACGCAACAGTAAAATGTGTACTTGGATGAAAAAACGATTCTTCGCGGCAGGGGATCGTATTCCAGGGACCATAGGATTAAGGACTTGCCCGAAACGCTACGCTTACTAGTGGCTGTACAAGAATGTAACAACTCTTGTATATATCTCAAAAAAAAAAAAAAAAAAAAAAAAAAAAAAAAAAAAAAAAAAAAAAAGTTCTGGGTCTCAGGAATTCTTCCCCTATCAATTTTATCGATTCCTGTTACTATATTGTACGTAGTGATCATATCGCCTCTTTTTCTTCTATCATCTAGTTTTTGCATATTTAATCCCTCTAACCAGTCCTCGTAGCTCTTGTCCTTCAGTTCTAGGAGCCACTTAGTAGCATGTCTTTGCACCTTTTCCAGTTTGTTGATGTGCTTCTTAAGATATGGGCACCACACAACCACTGCATATTCTAGCTTTGGCCTAACAAAAGTCGTGAACAATTTCTTTAGTATTTCACCATCCATATATTTAAAAGCAATTCTGAAGTTAGAAAGCGTAGCATAGGCTCCTCACACAACGTTCTTTATGTGGTCCTCAGGTGATAGTTTTCTATCTAGAACCACTCCTAGATCTCTTTCTTTATCAGAATTTTTTAAAGATTCCTCACATAATTTATAGGTTGTGTGGGGTCTATGTTCTCCTATTCCACATTCCATAACATGGCATTTATTCACATTGTGTGTGTGTGTGTGTAATTACCTAAGTGTAGTTACAGGATGAGAGCTACGCTCGTGGTGTCCCGTCTACCCAGCACTCCTTGTCATATAACGCTTTGAATTAAGCAGTACTGACGGTTTTGGCCTCCACCACCTTCTCACTTAACTTGTTCCAACCGTCTACCACTCTGTTTGCGAAAGAGAATTTTCTTATATTTCTTCAGCATCTTTGTTTAGTTAGTTTCAATCTATGACCTCTTGTTCTTGAAGTTCCAGGTCTCAGGAAATCTTCCCTATCGATTTTATCAATTCCGTGCGTGTGTCCGCGCGTGCGTCCGTGCATGCGTGTGTGTGTGTGTGTGGGGGGGGGGGGGGGTACTGTATATTTATCTAAAAATATAATTCCCTGTTGTCGGGAAGGAGGGGGGGGGGGCAGGAAATCTGTACTTTTGTACAGCTAATGCAGTACATAGTAGGCATCCATCAGTCTCAGGAGACTATGGAGTTGCACTCTGGTTGTTGGTGTGGAGTGGCCTAAAACATTTAAATATATGTTCAAATATTTATGCTATATGCCATACATATAGCATAAATATTTTTATGTGGGGATGTTCCATGAATCTATCCACAATCACTATTTCCATTGTTTATGTGCTGAAATCATTCTGCTGATAAAATTTAGTTTTCATTACCTGCAGAATCATTAGTGCCCTCATAAGATTAATTTCAAACACTATATCTTGAATGACAGATAAACTTAGTTCGTTTTGCATATAAAGAACCTTGGAAGTTATTGAACAGCTAAATATAATTCTGATAGTTTCATTGTGTATTTTGTCCAGTCTATTAATACCTTTGCTTTAATATAGGACAAGTCACAATTGACTTGATAATGGTCCAGGACGGACCAAAACATCGTCGTCTCCTCATCTTCTGATGTGTGGTTTGGTCATCATATCTTCAGCCACGTTATTGTGACACATCGTCTGCATAGGACTAAGACTGATGTTTGATATTCTATCGAAGACCATAAATAAGCTACGTACATCTTTCTAGCTATAGTAATATTTGCACCACAGAGAGATCAACACTATCAAGAAACATTCTCTAAAGTAGGAGGTTTTACATGTACATCTAGTCAGTGGAATGGGACAAAAAGCATCTGTATAGTTAGGTTTTGTTTTTTGTATTGGAACAGTGAGACTGCTATTTCACAAGACAGGTGAACTGCCCAGTGACATTAAACAGTTCAAGTAATGGTTTGCCAGGTACAAGATGTAGTTATTTAAGTACGTATGTCACATGTGATACCACCCTCACCAGGGTCTACACCCATTGTACCCTCACTGGATCTACACCCATTGTACCCTCACCAGGGTCTACACCCATTGTACCCTCACCAGGGTCTACACCCATTGTACCCTCACCAAGGTCTACACCCATTGTACCCTCACTGGATCTACACCCATTGTACCCTCACCAGGGTCTACACCCATTGTACCCTCACCAGGGTCTACACCCATTGTACCCTCACCAGGGTCTACACCCATCATTAAGTTATCATCCTCTTTCTTCATTGGAAGAGAAAAATAACTAAAAGAAAAAGTTACTAAACAATGTACTGTACTATAGTTTTCGTATCATAATGAGTGTTCGTAAAGAGGGATGTCAAGGAGATTGCCATCAATGCTAATCCAAAATTATACCTGAATTTACCAAAGGGTCACAATATTTCTAATGGTTTTGGCAAGGACAGGAAGCCAGCAGTTAGTTAAAAGTTCCTTCAGTTATCTTGATGATTTTATTAAGCTGAATCTTGAGAATTGCAGCAGTGTTTTGGCATTTACAGCTTCGGTGGGTAGATAGTTTCAAAGTTTTACCTGAATTTGCTTGAGGGCCACTATCTGTTTAGTGGTCTTGATGAGTACAGGTAATCGGTGGCTTGTCAAAGGTCTCCCAATTTCTCTTCATGATTTGATCTGTTTGGATCCTAAATTGCAGTAGTGTTTTGGCATTTACGACTTTGGTGGGGAGGTGGTTAAATGGGTTTATAACCTTACAGGTGAAGAAGCATCTCCTGTTTCCTGTCTAACATTATGACTTGTTGAGCTTGAAGCTGTTGCTCCTTGTATGTGTTACATCTGAGTTTTTAAAAAGTGGTCTGGATCAATATCCTCCAAATTGTTCAGTAATTTAATAATTATGATGAGATCAACTGTGTTATTATAAAAAGACTGAAACCAAGCCTCACAGGTAGCAGAAAAAACATGGAAAATCCAATTATGCAGAATGAAATGCTACTTGTTAATTATCTCAATAGGCAACTGATGCTGTGGACTGACCTGGTGTTAACTCCTATGACAAAGCTTAAACTTTACACAGAGATGATACCTCTAAAAGTTACTCTGATAATACTAACCTGGACGAACTGAGAGTCAAGGCCGACCATGAGGATCATACAGAAGAAGAGTGCAGACCAGAGGGGAGCCAGAGGCATGGATGCCATGGCCTTAGGATAAGCAATGAAGGCTAGCCCAGGACCTGAAACAAAATGAATATATGTGGCCATTGTCATTTTACAAAGTACAGCCCTGTGTGACATATGTGATCATTTATTCATGACTTTGGCCTTTTGGGCTTAGGTAAGACACAAGGAAAATAAGGGTGAGTCTAGGTGAAAGTACAGGGCAATGTGGCTCAAGTGGCCCCTCGTGGAACACCTACCAGCCTCAGCCACCTCTTCCATGGGCAGCTCCAGTTGGTAGCTCATGAAGCCGAGGATACTGAAGATTCCAAACCCAGCGAAGAGAGACGTTCCGGAGTTACAAGCACACAAGATGGCACACTGCTTCATGAAGTTGTTGTTGAACTTGTTGTAGGAGCCAAGAGCGACCATGCCACCAAGAGCCACAGCGTACGAGTAGAAGACCTGCGTACCAGCATCATTCCACACCTGCCGAATAAAAATACGCATTGAACGGCCTGCACTGAAGGCTAAGCGACCTGTGGACCACATATCCACATGCCATATGCTCCAGTTTTTCAGTACAGTATGACATATTTCAATGTCCCATTTTTGTTTTTGTTTTTCGAAAGTCAAAGACCAAGATGACAAAACAAAGTAATGCTTTATACTTGGCCAGGGGATTACGTTCATGAGAGTAATCCCCCATGAAGTCATCTCTCAGTATTAGCATGGCAGCTAGTCCTCAACTGTACCCCTCTTGCCCTCTCTCCCTGGTCCTCTATTGTCCCATCTGCCAATTTTCTCGTCACCCTCTCCTCAGTCATTCATCATTACTTTTACTTGTGTGGTAACAGTTTATTGAGCCTCTGTATTAGAAATCTTACCAATTATTTAATTACAGTACTGTAATAGATTTGATGAATATTAAAACATTTGGAAGACCATTATGAAGAATAATTTAGAACTCTGTTCTCCACGAGTGTAGAACAAAGGTAGACAGGGATACACAAGATGTCAAGTGTCAGGTCTGGCCTAAGTGAAGTGCCATCCACCATGTATATGGGGCAGAGCGAGAAAGGGGAGCATAGGGTGTGACGCAGTTTCAACAAAGTGCTGGCATGGCACTCATTTGTTGAGTGCCATTGGGTTATCTCTGTCAAGCAGTTTATTTGGGATTGGCTTGTCCTTGTAGACCTATGTTGTCACTAGAAAATATGCCTAAGAGTGTATATTAGCCTTCTTATGAGTGGTTAGATTCATCGACACTGCTCAAGAGGAATTAGCTGTGAAATATACTTTTATACTTTTGGAGCATCCCTGTGCCCAATAAATTTAATTCATTCTTATTTCATTTTGTCAGGAACAGGCAGCCTGTGTATTTATATACATCAGGCATATATTATGGTACCCCCTTTTCTCCCCAAGGTCGAACTGCTGAACCTCCCAGGATGCAACCCCACAATAAGTTAACTGACTCTTGGGGTACCTATTTACTTCTAGGTGGACAGGGACATCAGGTGATTGGAAATGCACCCAAACTTTATGTACCGTCCGGGATTTGAACCCGGAATTCTTGATTGTAAAAGGTTGAGATAAGAGTAAGAAAGGTACAACAATATTAGGTTGTTGAAAGAGATCCATTTAAGCAGTTACTGTTTGTTATAACAATCTTTTTATCAAGATTGGGATGGTACAATTATTAGCATCCATCCATTGATGCGAGCAGCTACAGCTGTGCATACATATTGCATACCAGGTTGTTAGAATGGTAGCAGCAGTAGGATTATTTTGGGTTTTTATATTTTAGAATAATTACCTGTACCCAATTTTATTGCTCTGAGCATACTATATTAATTTTAATTATTAAAAAAGGAGAAGTTTGATGTAATGGTTTACAATTTCGTTCTGATATAGCTATTTACATACTGTAATCGTCTGAGAATAACAATGTTATACTGTAATTATGATTCTCAGACGATGTACATAATAAGTACAGTACTGTACACTTCTTGATGTATATACACAGAGTTTATTTTAGTCCTGGACTATGTTCAGGAGTAACATATACTTGCTGATTTCTCAGTAAGCAACTTATGGTGGCCTTAATAACACTCCAGAGATTGATACGCCCTAAGCCTAACACCAAACCAAACCAGACCAGATCTGCCATTTTATAACTTGTGCATCCCTGGTTCACTATATACTACATTCATGGAGAACACAAATGAACTTATACATACTTGAAAATGTTCTATAAAGTGTTATAATATTCATAAAATCTATTACTGTATTTTAATAAATAGTAAGATTTCCAATCCCGAGGCTCAATAGATGGTACGGTGTATCAACACACAGATCATCAGTTGATATATTTTATCAATAGATGGTTGGGCTGGGTGCCAGCAGGTCTGCCACCACCCTGGAAGGCTGGGTTGGGTGCCACCAGGTCTGCCACCACCCTGGAAGGCTGGGTTGGGTGCCACCAGGTCTGCCACCACCCTGGAAGGCTAGGTTGGGTGCCAGCATGTCTGCCACCACCCTGGAAGGCTAGGTTGGGTGCCAGCAGGTCTGCCACCATCCTGGATGGCTAGGTTGGGTGCCAGCATGTCTGCCACCACCCTGGAAGGCTAGGTTGGGTGCCACCAGGTCTGCCACCACCCTGGAAGGCTGGGTTGGGTGCCACCAGGTCTGCCACCACCCTGGAAGGCTAAGTTGGGTGCCAGCATGTCTGCCACCACCCTGGAAGGCTAGGTTGGGTGCCAGCAGGTCTGCCACCATCCTGGAAGGCTAGGTTGGGTGCCAGCATGTCTGCCACCACCCTGGAAGGCTGGGTTGGGTGCCAGCATGTCTGCCACCACTTTAGAAGGCTGGGTTGGGTGTCAGCTGGTCTGCCACCACCTTGGAAGGGTAGGTTGGGTGCCAGCAGGTCTGCCACCACCTTGGAAGGCTGGGTTGGGTGCCAGCAGGTCTGCCACCACCTTGGAAGGGTAGGTTGGGTGCCAGCAGGTCTGCCACCACCTTGGAAGGTTGGGTTGGATGCCAGCAGGTCTGCCACCACCTTGGAAGGCTGGGTTGGGTGCCAGCAGGTCTGCCACCACTTTGGAAGGCTGGGTTGGGTGTCAGCTGGTCTGCCACCACCTTGGAAGGCTAGGTTGGGTGCCAGCAGGTCTGCCACCATCCTGGAAGGCTAGGTTGGGTGCCAGCATGTCTGCCACCATCCTGGAAGGCTGGGTTGGGTGCCAGCAGGTCTGCCACCACCCTGTAAGGCTGGGTTGGGTGCCACCAGGTCTGCCACCACCCTGGAAGGCTAGGTTGGGTGCCAGCATGTCTGCCACCACCCTGGAAGGCTAGGTTGGGTGCCAGCAGGTCTGCCACCATCCTGGATGGCTAGGTTGGGTGCCAGCATGTCTGCCACCACCCTGGAAGGCTAGGTTGGGTGCCACCAGGTCTGCCACCACCCTGGAAGGCTGGGTTGGGTGCCACCAGGTCTGCCACCACCCTGGAAGGCTAGGTTGGGTGCCAGCATGTCTGCCACCACCCTGGAAGGCTAGGTTGGGTGCCAGCAGGTCTGCCACCATCCTGGAAGGCTAGGTTGGGTGCCAGCATGTCTGCCACCACCCTGGAAGGCTGGGTTTGGTGCCAGCATGTCTGCCACCACTTTAGAAGGCTGGGTTGGGTGTCAGCTGGTCTGCCACCACCTTGGAAGGGTAGGTTGGGTGCCAGCAGGTCTGCCACCACCTTGGAAGGCTGGGTTGGGTGCCAGCAGGTCTGCCACCACCTTGGAAGGGTAGGTTGGGTGCCAGCAGGTCTGCCACCACCTTGGAAGGTTGGGTTGGATGCCAGCAGGTCTGCCACCACCTTGGAAGGCTGGGTTGGGTGCCAGCAGGTCTGCCACCACTTTGGAAGGCTGGGTTGGGTGTCAGCTGGTCTGCCACCACCTTGGAAGGCTAGGTTGGGTGCCAGCAGGTCTGCCACCACCCTGGAAGGCTGGGTTGGGTGCCAGCAGGTCTGCCACCACCTTGGAAGACTGGGTTGGGTGCCAGCTGGTCTGCCACCACCACAGAAGGTTGGGTTGGGTGCCAGCAGGTCTGCCACCACCTTGGAAGACTGGGTTGGGTGCCAGCTGGTCTGCCACCACCACAGAAGGTTGGGTTGGGTGCCAGCTGGTCTGCCACCACCACAGAAGGTTGGGTTGGGTGCCAGCAGGTCTGCCACCACCTTGGAAGGCCTAACTGAATGCCAGGTCTACCAATGCCTCGGAAGGCCAGACTGGGTGTCAGCAGGCCTGCCACCACCAAGGAAGGTTGAGGTCAATAGTTCTGCCACCACCTTGGGCTTACTTTCCTACTTGGTAAGGCTTTATTACCATAGGGGATCTTTTAATGGGTGAGCCGCGACTCCTACGAGAGTATTGACCGCCTAGTGCACCGAAGTTGACAGATAGAGACAAATGAATGAGGACCAGGGTAAGCTTTCATCTGACCATCTTTCAGGGAAAAGATGAAAGTCAGCATAATCCTCCAAAGTGTAGCACACTTGTGTCAGGAAGTGTCGGTCTATGGGTACTGAGAGCTGATGCGTGTCAACCACCCTCAGCTTCCATGATACTTTAACTTCCTCAGACACAAAGTCAGTCATGCCCCTCAAGTTATCGCGTCACTCTCCCCCCCGGCGACCGGGAATGGCTATTATGGCGCTTAGAGTGAGGTAATAATCTTTGGCCGGAAATAAGGCCACATTTCGTCCCAGCTGTGTGGCACAGAGCACGGCTGGGCCAGGAACCTGTAACTTGCACTTATTGTGCAACACTTCTTAAATCAATAATGTAACTTTAGTGCACGAACATCATGAAAGTATAAATTTGAATGAGTGGCGAGCAATAAAAGATGTGATAGGTGTTGGGGAGGAGACTCGTAGTGGAGCAGAACTTCGTGTTACCTGATGATGGACGAGCGAGGAGACACCAGGTCGGCAACAGTCTGCAGCCCGCCACCCGGAATCATTGGCCCTGAAAACACTGGTTATTACCTGATAATCGAGGATTTTCTCCCATTTGGGCTCGAGGTAGAATCGAATACCCTCTGCAGCCCCTGGCAGCGTCGCCCCACGGACCAGCAGAGCCGTTAGCATCACATACGGGAAAGTTGCTGTAAGTATGTTTCGTTAGTACAGCATCATCATCAAATCAAATCACTTCTGAAATATAATGCTGATTAATCAAGAGCGATGATCACTCTTTGTCTCGGGGGCGTTGTTTGCGATTAATGGCAACTATTTCACATATGCCAAGTATAGCAAACGGGGAGGAAGTGATTGTCTGTTGATGATGTTCGTGCGACTCTCAAGTCTGGAGAGGATGGGGCAGTGGGAGCCATTCCCAGAGGCTTACCTGTGAAATACATGATCTTGCCGGTAACCTTGACGCCCTTCCAGATGGCGAAGTAGGTGCACACCCACGAGAAGAGCAGAGTGCCAAACAGAGGCCAGACCATAGTGCCGAGGACGTCCACACCGTCCGTGATTTGCAAGACGCGATTACTGAAAATACAATATGAACTTAGTCCTTGTTCACTCATATAATTGTTAATAACCAGTTATATAAAAATAAACATATGTTTACTACTACTGTTATAAGAAAATATATTATAAGAATATTTCTGTCCATTCTTAATATCTAAACATAAGAAAGTTTTTTGTAACAAAGTTTTGTTACGGGTAGCAAAATAAATACAGGATTTCATTATTAGTCGATCTCGAACCCATTGATGATGTAACGACTTATAATGAATTTTGTAACTAGCTCAATCAAGATTGTAACTTGCTTATCTAAATGAATTGTGGGGTTCAGTACGTCCCTGTGCCCATTATGTGCCTCTGTAACCCTTTCCACTACCGCCCCCACAAGTTGGGTATGGGGTGCATAATAAATGAACTAAACTAAACATTCTCAGAAGTGAAACTAGATTTATAGGTTCAATACATAGGTTATAATATATATATATATATATATATATATATATATATATATATATATATATATATATCTGTAGACATATATTATTAAATATGACCAAAAAAGTAAGATTAATAATTCTAACACGAATTTTCTCTATCTTTCTTACGTTTCTTTTCACTGTTGATGGTAATTCAAAGATCAATTCTCCAAAATTCATTTTTATTTCACGTCTGACGCGACACTTGAGCGCGTTTCGTAAAACTTATTACATTTTCAAAGACTTTAGTTTACAAACACACAACTGAAACTGAATAGAGCTTACACATCTTCGAGTTTATATCTACATTTGGGTGAGGTGAAAACAAACTTTCAACTTTCAATATATATATATATATATATATATATATATATATATATATATATATATATATATATATATATGAACGAGTTTGAATAGAAATAGGTATTTTCTTATAATTTTATTCTAAACTCAAAAGTGATATTACACTTACTCCCAGAACTCGACGACAGAGTCCTTGGGTGTGATGTTGTTAGCTTTGAGTTCATGGATGAGGGAGTGGTTCGCGACTCCCGCGAACGACACGCATGCTTCCGTGTTCCACCTGTACAAACGGAAGAGAAGATATAAAATATACAAATATATATATCAAATATGTAAGTATTGTAATGCGGACACATTAAAAGGTTGAAAACGGTGTAAGGTGGTTGGAGCTGGAGTCCTACTGTCCCTCACGTCATGAGAGGAAAGCCAGTAATGATCGTCTGCTAGACCCTGTGCCAAACTTCTAAAAAGTTTTTAACAATTTATGTGTTCTTTGTCAACATGTCTGCACATCTGGTCCACCCGCTGTGACCGAGACCAAAATTTTGTCATCTTTGGCAGAGGGCCGGAGATGTCACTTGTGTCATCATGCTCGCAACCCGTGTACTCTCAAATCAAATCAAATGTTTATTTAGGTAAGGTACATACATACAAGAGATTTTACAAGGAGTGATGGATTTATAGATAGGGCTAGTACATACAATGCCTAAAGCCACTATTACGCAAAGCGTTTCGGGCATGAAAAACTTAAATGACTAAAGCTTAATACTAATTGAGCATAAAGAATAAAATGAAAACATGGAATGAAAACATAGCTGAAAAAGCAGCACAAATACAATTCTGTCAACAAACAGCGCTCTTTAAAAAAAACAGACATTGGTTGACAATAGAGGGGTAAGGTAGGTTACAGGGAATTTATTAGGTATAGCTTCGTTTTTATCTTAAACTGGTTGAGAGAGGTACAGTCTTTAACATGGTTGGGAAGGTCATTCCACAATCTGGGTCCCTTGATTTGTAGAGCATTTCTAGTTTGATTAAGTCGTACTCTAGGAATATCAAAACTGTATTTATTTCTGGTGTGGTGCTCATGGGTTCTGTTACAACCTTCTGTGAAGCTTTTGAGGTCAGGATTGGTATTGCAGTTTAGCGTTTTATATATGTATAATACACATGAGAGAATGTGCAGTGACTTAATGTCTAACATATTCAGAGATTTGAGTAGGGGTACCGAGTGATGTCTGGGGCCAGAGTTGGATATTGTCCTAATAGCAGCTTTGTGTTGAATAATTAGAGGATGTAAATGATTTTGGGTAGTAGAACCCCGAGCACAAATACCATAGTTGAGATATGGATAGATGAGGGAGTAATAGAGAGTCACCAGGGCAGGGCGGGGTACATAATATCTGATCTTAGAAAGAATGCCAACAGTTTTTGAAACTTTTTTTTATATATTTAGAATGTGTCCCTGGAAATTCAGCTTGTGGTCAATGAGAATGCCAAGGAATTTGCCATCTTATTTGTTACAAATTTAGGTATTGTTTATTTTGAGATTTATTTGAATAGAGGATTTATTGCCAAACACAATATAGAAAGTTTTGTCAATGTTAAGGGTGAGTTTGTTGGCAGTTAGCCAAAGATGGACTTTATTTAGCTCAGTATTTACTGTGGCATTTAGAGCAAGGGGGTCAGGACTGGAGTAAATGAAGGTTGTGTCGTCAGCAAATAGAATTGGTTTGAGGTGATGGGAGGCATTTGGAAGGGCATTAATGTAGATGAGAAAGAGGAGAGGGCCAAGTATACTGCCCTGAGGAACACCAATGTTGATGGGTAGGGTGGGAGAAATTGAATTATTCACAGAAACATACTGGAGCCTGTCAGTAAGGTAGGATTTGAGGTATTGCAGGGAGTGTCCTCTGACTCCATAATGATGTAATTTAAGAAGAAGGTTTTGGTGGTTGACAGTGTCAAAAGCCTTACGCAGGTCCACAAATAACCCAACTCTGATCTATTTACTTAGTTTAACTGCAGTATTTTCAGCATGCCAGGACTATAGTTGGTTCATGCTAACCAAGAGGTCTCAACTCCCACAATTAAGAAAATGAAATTAAGCTTCATTGTCTTTCCACTTCTTAAGACTCAAAATTTCAACTTCGCCTGTGAGATCTACGTCTTTAAAGGCTACCACATTCTGTTCGCAGCCTCATTAACTCAAGCAGTCGACTCACAATCAATTATACCCGGGTTCAATACCCTGGCAAGGCGAGACATATGGGTACGTTTCCTTACATCTGAAGCCTCTGTTCACTTGTCAGTAAGGAGGCATCAAGACATCTGTTGTGGGTTGCATCCTGAGAGAAGCTAGGTCTGTCGTTGGCGCAAGACCATAATATGCCTGTTCCCGGACATTAGGGAACACCACAGATTTCTAGCAAGTGTCGTGTTATATAGACTTTGCATATAGTTTCTGGGGGCACCAGCTTGCAGATGACAAGTCAAGTCTTCTTGAAAGCTTTGTGGGGGTCATGCCAATATCAGTCTTATCTTACTGACAGGCTCCAGTATGTTTCTGTGAATTTCATTTCTCCTTCACTACCCATAAACATTGGTGTTCCACAGGGCAGCATACTTGGCCCTCTCCTCTTTTTCATCTACATTAATGACCTTCCAAATGCCTCTCAACACCTCAAACCAATCTTATTTGCTGATGACACAACTTTCATTTTCTCCAGTCCTGACCCGCTGGCTCTAAATGTCGCTGTGAATACTGAACTAAATAAGGTCCATCTTTGGCTAATTGCTAACAAACTCACCCTTATCATTGACAAAACTTTCCATATTTTGTTTGGTAACAAATCCTCAAATGAAATTAATCTAAGAATAAACAATATACAAATCAGTAGAAAAGTTGATGGTAAATAAAATAAAATAATGAAATAAAATGTTTATTCAGGTAAGGTACATACATACAAGAGATTTTACATAAATTGCGAATGCCAACAGTTTTTGAGACTTTTTTTATATATTTAGAATGTGTCCCTGGAAATTCAGCTTGTGGTCAATGAGAACGCCAAGGAATTTGCCATCTAATTTGTTACAAATTCCTTGGTGTCCTCATCAATAATAAGCTGAATTTCCAGGGACACATGCTAAATATAGCAAAAAAGTTTCAAAAACTGTTGGCATTCTTTCTAAGATCAGATATTATGTACCGAGCCCTGGCATGGTGACACTCTATTGCTCTCTTATGTATCCTTATCTCAACTATGGTATTTGTGCTTGGAGTTCTACTACCCAAAATCATTTACGTCCTCTAATTACTCAACACAAAGCTGCTGTTAGGACAATATCTAACTCTAGCCCCAGACATCACTCGGTACCCTTACTCAAATCTCTGAATATGTTAGATATTAAGTCACTGCACATCCTCTCATGTGTATTTTATATATATAAAACGCTGAACTGTAATGTCAATCCTGACCTTAAAAGCTTCCTAGAAGGTTGTAGCAGAATCCGTGAGCACCACACCAGAAACAATACCTATTTGATATTCCAAGAGTACGACTTAGTCAAACTAGAAATGCTTTACAAATCAAGGGACCTCGAATATGGAATGACCTTCCCAATCGTGTCAAAGGCTGTACCTCTCTCAACCAGTTTAAGATAAAAACTAAGTACCACCTTATTAACTCAATGTAACCTACCTCACCCCTAAATGTCAACCCATGTCTATGATTTTAAACAATGCTGTTTGTTGACCAAATTGTATTTTTGCTGTTTTTCTGCCATGTTCCCCCCCCCCTTTCATTTTTTCTTTTTTTTTTCTCAACACAATTTATACTTTAATCTCACTTAGTATTAAGTTTTAGTCATAGTGTTTTTCCTGCCCGAAACGCTTTGCGTAATAGTGGCTTTAGGCACTGTATGTACTAGCTCTATCTATAAATCCATCAACTTTTGTATTTCACCTTGTATGTATGTACTTTACCTGAATAAATATTTGTATCTGTATTTGTAACTAGAGGGTTCAGTTCCTGAACTGATTATGTGCCTCTGTAATCCTTTACACCACCGCCCATGGGATGGGTATGGGGTGCATAATAAAGAAAAATTGAGAAATTGAATCAATAATTACTAAGAGTTTCTTTACCGTGAATTTTAGTAACTTCATTTCTCAGTTACTATACCAAGGAAATAATTACTTTACACTAAGTTACTTTAGAAATAGTTACTGATACTAAGAAAACAGAAAACATAGAAAACTTACACTATAAGATCAACAACACCAGCCATGCGGCCATGTTTAATCAAATATGTTCAAAGGACTGTATATAGGTATGCAGCTAGGAAGACTCACCAGTTGTCACAGGTGGTCCATGGAAGCTCGGCCTGGAAGGAGAAGATGAAGTAGTAGAGGGCCCAGGCGATGATGACGATGTAGTACACGTTGAGCCAGTTACACACCACGATGGCCGCAAAGCCGATACCTGTGTGGACGATACCTTGTCACCTGGGAGATACCTGAGGTTACCTCGTTAATTGGGAGACACACCACACACTCACCCTGGAAGTAGACACCAGACACTCACCCTGGAAGTACACACCAGACACTCACCCTGGAAGTACACACTAGACACTCACCCTGGAAGTAGACACCAGACACTCACCCTGGAAGTACACGCCAGACACTCACCCTGGAAGTAGACACCAGACACTCACCCTGGAAGTACACGCCACACACTCACCCTGGAAGTACACGCCACACACTCACCCTGGAAGTACACGCCACACACTCACCATGGAAGTACACACTAGACACTCACCCTGGAAGTACACACTAGACACTCACCCTGGAAATACACACCACACACTCACCCTGGAAGTAGACACCAGACACTCACCCTGGAAGTAGACACCAGACACTCACCCTGGAAGTACACGCCACACACTCACCCTGGAAGTACACGCCACACACTCACCCTGGAAGTACACACCACACACTCACCATGGAAGTACACACTAGACACTCACCCTGGAAATACACACCACACACTCACCCTGAAGTACACACCACACACTCACCCTGAAGTACACACCAGACACTCACCCTGGAAGTACACACTAGACACTCACCCTGGAAGTACACACTAGACACTCACCCTGAAGTACACACCACACACTCACCCTGAAGTACACACCACACACTCACCCTGAAGTACACACCAGACACTCACCCTGGAAGTACACACTAGACACTCACCCTGGAAGTACACACTAGACACTCACCCTGGAAGTACACACTAGACACTCACCCTGAAGTACACACCAGACACTCACCCTGGAAGTACACACTAGACACTCACCCTGGAAGTAGACACCAGACACTCACCCTGGAAGTACACACCAGACACTCACCCTGGAAGTACACACCAGACACTCACCCTGGAAGTACACACCAGACTCTCACCCTGGAAGTACACACCAGACACTCACCCTGGAAGTACACACCACACACTCACCCTGGAAGTACACACCAGACACTCACCCTGGAAGTACACACTAGACACTCACCCTGGAAGTAGACACCAGACACTCACCCTGGAAGTACACACCAGACACTCACCCTGGAAGTACACACTAGACACTCACCCTGGAAGTAGACACCAGACACTCACCCTGGAAGTACACGCCAGACACTCACCCTGGAAGTAGACACCAGACACTCACCCTGGAAGTACACACCAGACACTCACCCTGGAAGTACACACCAGACACTCACCCTGGAAGTACACACCAGACACTCACCCTGAAGTAGACGCAAGACACTCACCCTGGAAGTACACACTAGACACTCACCCTGGAAGTACACACCAGACACTCACCCTGAAGTAGACGCAAGACACTCACCCTGGAAGTACACACCAGACACTCACCCTGAAGTAGACGCAAGACACTCACCCTGGAAGTACACACTAGACACTCACCCTGGAAGTACACACCAGACACTCACCCTGAAGTAGACGCAAGACACTCACCCTGGAAGAGCGGGGACATCTTCCAGACAGATATCCCGCCCTCGCTCATAAACTGGCCGATGCCCACCTCCAGGAAGAACATGGGCAGCCCGCCCAGCAGGGCACACACGCAGTAGGGGATCAGGAAGGCTCCTGTAGACAGAGAAAGAATAAGAGTTAAGTTACTTTGTTCAGTCACTCTGGCCTGGAAAGTATGATGCATAACGACAGGTGTATAAAATACAATTCCAGTGAGTATTGGGGAAAATATTATTTTACACGGTGACAATTTCCAACTATTTATGTCTTAGATACTGACACAATAGAGAACTGAAATTAGTTACAGTGTAATGGACATGATAATATAAGTATAGAGGAAACAGTAGGAGGTTTATTGACCCATTCGAAGCAGTTTCTATTTATTTACATCTAAACTCATTCACACGTATGTCCAGCCTACGCTTGAAACGATACGTCTTCTCTTACCCAGCAAACTGTTCCATAATTTCCAAAACAAGTTTCCAAACCAGCACTCACCCGGGTCTAGCCTGAACGCAGTTAGATCTTTTCACTGAACGGAAACAATATTTAAGTGCTGTAGGAATAATGATGGTTGCAATAACAACAAAATCATAATGTCGGGGGACAGGCATGTGAGGATGTTACCTTGAGAGAGATCACAAGTCCCGCGTGCTGTCCGCTCGGCCGACCGGCTCCCCATAAGTCAACTCTCGTACCAGGAAAGGTTCAGGGCCACAGGGCTAACACCACTGCAAAACAAGTATGACAGGGCGGAGCTCGTCGAAAATTTTAAAATACACAACAATTTGGAGGATGTTGATCCGGACAATTTCATAAGGTCAGATGTAACACAAACAAGTAGCTACGGACTCAAGCCTAATAAACCACAATATAGGACTGAGAACAGGAGATGCTTTTTCACCCACAAGGTTATAAACCCATGGAACAGCATATTCGCCAAAGCCGTAAATGCAAAAACTGCTAAATTTCAAAATCCAGCTGGAAAAAGTCATCAGGGCAAAGGGGGGGACCTTTCACAAAGGGCCGGATTATTGCCCTCGTCGAGGCCATTGTGTGTTAGTGGCTCTCAGGTAAATTCAGATGTTTGGGGAGGCTTAGGAATCCTTCAGGAAGGCAAGCACCGACCCCACCCAACAAAGAGAACGCTAGTAGAGTCAAGGCAAAAACAGAGGGGGGGGGGGGGGGGGCTCTTAAACTCATACCCATATGGGCAAAAGCACACAAAAGAAGTCTTCCAGTGCCCTCCGGCAAAGCCAGCCGCCTACCACGCCCTGAGGGCACCCCCCGGAGCCCAGCAAGATCCCGCCAAACCTCGGCCAAGTAGGCCCCGTACACCATCTCCCCGCCCGGAGAACCAGGCAGAAAACTTGTAAAATCATGAACTTCTCTGTTCCACTAGGCGATAACAGCGTCTGGCATCCTAGCAGTCCGGACCGTTGAATAGGAATGCCTGATGCTGGCCTGCTGGCGCTATATCGAGACTCCAAACCTTTCCAGATATTCTAAAAAAAGCGAGAGTAACCCCTGTCCACAAATGTGGTGATCTCATTGATGTTAACAACTACAGACCTATATCAATCCTGCCAAACTTGTCAAAAATATTTGAGAAACTAATCTACAATCAGCTTTACTCTTATCTAGCCAAATACAATAAACTTAGCTCTTGTCAATATGGCATCAGACCCCAAAAAAACACTAACGATGCACTTATTAGTATGATTAACTTGATACATGCAGCTCTTGATAAAAATGAGTTCCCTGTTGGGTTATTTGTTGACCTGCGTAAGGCTTTTGACACTGTCAACCACCAAAACCTTCTTCTTAAATTACATCATGATGGAGTCAGAGGACACTCCCTACAATACCTCAAATCTTACCTTACCGACAGGCTCCAGTATGTTTCTGTGAATAATTCAATTTCTCCCACCCTACCCATTAACATTGGTGTTCCTCAGGGCGGCATACTTGGCTCTCTCCTCTTTCTCATCTACATTAATGACTTTCAAATGCCTCCCAACACCTCAAACCAATTCTATTTGTTGACGACACAACCTTCATTTACTCCAGTCCTGACCCCCTTGTTTTAAATGTCACAGTGAATACTGAGCTAAATAAAGTCCATCACTGACTAACTGCCAACAAACTCACCCTCAACATTGACAAAACTATCTATATTTTGTTTGGCAATAAATCCTCAAATCAAATAAATCTCATGGTAAATAATACCCAAATTTGTAACAAAGTATGGGAAATTCCTTGCCGTTCTCATTGACCACAAGCTGAATTTCCAGGAACATTCTAAATATATCAAAAAAAGTTTCAAAAACTGTGGGCATTCTTTCTTAGATCAGATATTATGTACCTCGCCCTGCCCTGGTGACGCTCTATTACTCTCTCATCTATCTTTATCTCAACTATGGTATTTGTGCTTGGGGTCAGATCAGAAACAAATACCGTTTTGATATTCCAAGAGTACGACTTAATCAAACTAGAAATGCTCTACAAATCAAGGGACCCAGAATGTGGAATGACCTTCCCAACCATGTTGAAGACTGTACCTCTCTCAACCAGTTTAAGATAAAAACTAAGCACTACCTAATTAACTCCCTGTAACCTACCTTACCGTATAATGTCAACCCATATCTGCCATTTTTAAACAATGCTGTTTGTCGGCCAAAATGTATTTTTGCTGTTTTTCTGCCATGTTTCCCTCTTTTTATTTTTATATTTTCTCAACACATTTTATACTCTAATCTCAATTAGTATTAAGTTTTAGTCTTTAGTGTTTTTCCTGCCCGAAACCCTTTGCGTAATAGTGGCTTTAGGCATTGTATGTATACTAGCTCTATCTATAAATTCATCAATATTTGTATCACACCTTGTATGTATGTACTTTACCTGAATAAACATTTGAATTTGATTTTTTTTGAAAAATGATTCGAAGAGAATGTAATCGAAGCCGACCAGCAAATTAAAGAAAACTAGCGGGTGACGGGATACTGTCTTAAACAGACTGCTAGAGACCAGCAAGAATACTGTGCTACAGTTCAACTAATTGGATGATTACAGGGCACTCGAGGATGCACACAGACGCACGCACACATATAAAAACACAAACAGGAAAGATTTTGGCGAGACTGATAAATTATAAATTATAAGTGGTATGAAAACACCATGGTTCAATAATTTGCCCTCACTAGAAAACAAGTTGAAAATGTTACCACAAGGGATGATTATACTTGACAACGTCACTAACCTTGTGAGTGAACGTACCAACGCAGTATTCAGAAATTACTTTACTAATCCACCATGTTTTTATTTGACTGATGCTAGTTTTAGTTATACCCGTTCAATTTGGTCATAGTTATTATGGTGATAACAACTTTATAATTATGTAGCCTACTCATTGTAAAACAATGTCAACAAGTGTTTATCCTCTCCACACATTTAATACCAAAAATAACAATGCTCCGGGTATGCTCCAAGCATACAGAATTAATACAAAATTAAATGTTAGAAAGCTTTGCGGAGGAGCAAAGGATCGGGTGTAGGAGGAGGGCTTAGTGGCCCATACAAAGGACATTATCAGGGGAAAAGCGGCAAGCCATTACGACTATATAGCACTGGGAAGGGGTCAGGATAAGGATTTGGGACGGGGGAAAGGAATGGTGCCCAAATACTTGGACGGTCGGGGATTGAATGCCGACCTGCATGAAGCGAGACCATCGCTCTACCGTCCAGTCAAGGTGGTTGGGCAAGTGGCCCATACGAGGCAGCTTCTGTTTATATGGGTCTAGTGGGATAGCTGGCTTTATTCTCAACTCACAATCAGGAATCCCCGGTTCGAGTCTTGAATGGGACAGAAATAGTTAGGCACTTTTCCTTTCACCTAATGTCGTTATTCACTTATCATAGGTACCTGAGAGTTAGGCAACCCTTGTGGAGTTGCATCTTGGGAAAGGTGAGTAGTTCGACCTTTGGGACCCCTCGATATAGGCTTAAAGTATATATATGTAACCAGGCTTCCTATCCTTAATAGTAGCAAACCCATATTTATCCCTGAAAGACATGGAACACGCAGTGCCTAGACCTAAGATTTAATGTATTCATACACAAATCACGCAACCCGTTCTCGCAAATTCGTAAAGTCAATATTGACTTATTAACTACGTGTATAGGTGATATACTAAACATAATAGATACCCTTAAAAAGATTCATAGAAAACACCGACCTTACCTAACCTTGTTAGTATCTTAAGATAAGCATCTTATTGCTTCGTAATTACAATTATTACTTAACCTATACCTATTATAGGTTAGGTAATAATTGTAATTACGAAGCAATAAGATGCTTATCTTAACATACTAAGTAGGTTAGGTAAGGTCGGTGTTTTCTATGAAGCTTTTCAAGGGAAACTATTATGTTAAGTATGTCACCTATGCACATATTTAATAAGTCAATATTGACTAATTAAATTTGCGAGAACGGCATCACAAGCCTTCCGTTACGCAAGAGCCGCTCAAGGCAACTTACCACTCAAAATATTGAACAAGGTTGGGTAGCAACCGCAAATGTCTATAAGTATCTTTAAATCTGTCCGAGATCTGAGGCCAGACATTTGGGGCTAGCCTCATTAAATTTTGCAGGAATAATGAATATACTCCCTCCAATTCCTTCAGTCTTACCTTACTGACAGGCTTCAGTATGTTTCTGTGAATAATTTTATTTCTCCCACCCTACCCATCAACATTGGTGTTCCCCAGGGCAGCATACTTGGCCCTCTCCTCTTTCTCATCTACATTAATGACCTTCCACATGCCTCTCAACACCTCAAACCAATTTTAATTTGCTGACGACACAACCTTCATTTTCTCCAGTCCTGATCCCCTTGCTCTAAATGTCACAGTGAATACTGAACTAAATAAAGACCATCTTTGGCTAACTGCTAACAAACTCACACTTAACATTGACAAAACTTTCTATATTTTTTTGGTAATAAATTCTCAGATCAAATTAATCTAAGAATAAACAACATCCAAATTAGTAACAAAGTAGATGGTAAATTCCTTGGTGTCCACATCGATAACAAGCTGAATTTCCAGGGTCACAT